CCTGTTACACTTAGTGCACCTGTCCCGTCCATCATCTCCCCTCAAGGCTTCAGGGAGAAGACCACCATCTCCCTGCCTACCGGCACCATTCACACTATAGCCGAGGCTAAGACCCGGCCCAAGGTTACCACCGCTCGCAACACTTGAGGGGTAACCCGTGGCATTGCTAGACTGACTAACGCCAGCGCCAACCCCTTGGTGACTAACGCCACCTCCGTAGGCAGGACCATAGAAACTGGAACCACACTGATTGTTCCCAATTCCATGAGTATCCGCAGCACTACCGTGGAACCCGGGCGCTCCACCAGGGTAACCCCCGGTAGGAGCCCCTCCACTCGGGCCTCCAGAAGGCCCAGCGGGATCTTGGCCTCCACCATAATGCCCAGGACCTGGTGGTGGAGCTGGGGCATGTCCATGACCACCACTTCCGCTCCCACCTTGACCAGGTGGTCCGCCTTGCCCACCACCTCCCCCGGGAGGAGGAGGAGGGGGCGGTCCAGCTTGCGCGCGCTCATGCCGAATATTGCAGCGCGCACATCGCTCAAGGCCGTCACTTCCAAAGTAGCTGTGATTCTCACAGACGTGAGTCCCACAATCCGTGCAGAAATACATGGAGACCTCCTGAGCATTCTTGCGACATGCCCAGCATTTCATTTTCAAGAACTGACAATTGTAACAGTCCCCGTCGTCACCATGGCAAAGCCCGCAGAACTCACGACTGCATGTCACACACGAGAATTCAGCGTTCGGGTGCCTACGGACAAATCTTTGGCGCGTCTGGGCCATCGCCGCTGGGAGCCCCTCTTGCAGCCGGCGCTGAGGCCTGTCCACGATCCGACGGAGCTCCAGCGGTCCCTCGCCTATCGCCGGGACTCTGGGTGTCGGCGCTGGCTCTACTCCCAGGAGTCCTCCACTCATCACCAGGACTCTGGATGTCGGCATGAACCCTATTACCCCCACCACCTCCCGAATGACGACCTGGGTTCGGAGAGACGTTCCCGCTATCGCGGATAGGCCTATCAAAACTCGGAGAGACGCTCCCGCTATCGCGGATCGGCCTCTCCCCCCTCGATTGTCGACTCCGGACCTCAGATCCCCTATCGGGGACGGCAGCAGGCCTCGGGCTCCTATTCCTACCCGCATCCCTATTGGGGGAAATAGAAACGTCCCCCCTTGCGCGCGCGCGGGGGCCATCCCTCGCACGCCCTGGCGGTGAATGCGACCTGTCAGGTAATCCTCGAACCCTCCTGCTCCTGCTGTCGGACCTCTCCCTAACGGGATTGATGGGATGCCTGTCTGCGCGAGAAGGATCGACCCTATCGGGCACATTCGGCAAAACATGATCAGGCAAAACAACGCCTCCGCCTGGTCTCACCGGCAGGCCAGTACCCCGGCCGTCACCTTCCCCTGGTGTAGGCGTCGGTGACCTGATCCTATGTCCTTGCCCCGCAAATGCATGGTAACCAACATTCCGTCTTTCTCTGGGTTGTGGAGGAGCTTCATTAATCTGCTGGACACCCTGAATAATGCCAGCAGCCTCGTCAAATTGACCCTCCATCTCAAAGAGCTGGGACATGATTCTGTTGTTCGCGGCGCTAAGGTTACGCACGTTGCCATCGATAGCGCTGACTCTCCGCATAACACCTTCAAGTGTACTCCGGAATGTGCCGAGTTCTCGCCTAACGGCAGGCTGCACTTGGTCACTGCTTGCAGGAAGATTACGGATCTGTCCTTGGATGCCATCAACGACCCGATTCACAATTGCCGATCTCGCTTCATACTGTTCAACATGTGACTTCACGGTCTCAAACCTTGAAATGATGTCGTCATGATCCCGACGTTGACGTTGAATTCCTCGAGCCAGATCCTGCATCTTCCGATTGATCTCGTCAATAGCCTCATGCCAGTCCTGCGGGGAATCATGTTCTGATGGTCTATCGACCTCCTGAGAACCCCTTCCACTCTGCAGTCTCGACACTCGATTAACAAGACGAGTGTGCTCTTCTTTGATCCCTTCAATAGATTCAGAGGCCCACTTGGCAAATGTCTCGTGTTCAAGGAGAGCTTTCTCGATCTTCAGGTTTAACTCCCTGAAATTTGCATCCACTACACTGCCGCTGGCCCTATCGGACGGATGCGCGACAGGATTCGGGTTCCATACACCTGCTGGTGTCCGCATCCCAACGGTTTTCTCTACCGAGAACATCCGTTTCTCAAGCTTGTCCAAATCCTTAAGGATCTCGTCCTCAGAAGCAGCATGGCTTCTGCGGGCAGCCTCACTATTCTCCTGAATCATCAGGCGAAGCCGATCAGTCGATGCCTCATTGTCCCTGACAGATTCATGGACCTCGTGGGACAGTAGGTTAATCCTCTGCTCCACGACCTCGGCTTGCTCATCGATGGCTTGCCTCACAATGGCCTTGCTATCGGGAATAACTTCCCTTGCGAACCGTTGAACTATCATTCGCATCCTCCCGGCATCAGATTGAGTCGCAACCTCAGCTGCCAGTCGATCGACCTTGTCCTTCGTCTGTTGATTCTCGTCGCTCCATTCCCTTCGCATGGAACTCACTTGACCGTTCAGTAACCTGATCTGGTCAGCAAAAATATGGAAAGCTTTCGCGACTGAGCCAGAAACCTCACCTCTCTCGAGCATCTCCTGGATGTGCAAATCGAACACCTCCTTTGCCCTAGCGTCACCTGATTCACCGGAAGAATGAGACCTGAGTGCTGGAGGAGTCGATATCTCGATCCTCTCAGGAGCCCCACTAGCTCTAGCATATCTTCTGGGGTCATCCACAGGACTATCACCAACCCCAGATGGCCTGCTAGGGTAGACCCCCTTCTACGGCTATCGCCGGAACGGGGATCAACATGGGACGCACGAGACTCGGGAGTAGAGTGGATGTGAACATCAGCAGGATCAGGCATCTCCTCATCCTGCGGAGTTGAGTCCATTGGTGAGGGGCTAGCCCTCCTCGCCTTTGACCTATCGGTCTCAATGGCCAGGGGTGACGGTCTCTTCGCAGAAGCACTACGTTCCCTGGCGGTCGAGCCCCATTGAGGTGTGAACTCGTTGCTAGACCTTAGCGTTTCAAGGTCACTGGTATCTCGCCCTAACGGGCTAGCGATCGACGGACGATCCTCGATTCCGAGTGCATCGGCAAGCCGGCCATCTCTTGCACCTCTCCCAACGACATCGGCAACCCGCTCAGTGACCCTCGGCGAACCAGTAACCCGGTTCGAGTTCACGTCTCTCTGATTTAACGGACCTCCAAAAGTAATGTTGGGAAAAGGGGGAACATTCGGGGTGTCACCAATCGCCGGGGGACCTACCGGTCCCTCACGGTCATGGATGGCCTCCAATCCCCGAAGAACTTCCCGACTGTCCCTGGCTCTCTCTCTCTCGCTTCGGGCATCCCTGTCAACGCGAAGGTCCCTGGCGGCTCCACGAGAGAGGCTCCTGGGCCTCGCAGCATCACGGATCCTAGCATTTCGTCGTGGTTGGTCCTCCTCCTCATCACGGCGATCCGCAAATGCGGCATACTCGTCATCATCATCGACCTCAAACTTGGCAGCGGCGGGACTAGTCCTTGCAGTCGCACGGCTGCCTGCATTTCGGCGCGAATGGCTCTCCTCCTCATCCGCAAAATTGTAACCTTCGCCATCATAAGACTCAGATTTGGCAGTAATAGGGTTGGGCCTACCGGCATCAGATCCCTGCTTTGAGCTACTGCCCCATCCTGCGGTCGATTTCAACAGATCATCGTATCCGAAGTCTGAGAACTTTCGCTCCTCGTGCTCATCAAACTGACCTGGATTCTGAGAACCAGTGGATCGGCCCGGGATACCTCCCGGAGCCAGAACCATAGTCCCTGGTCCCTGCGGCCTATTCTCAAACTCATCCGAGACCTGCGACTCACCTGGAACAAGAGATCTCGGAGGTCGAATCGGCATGGCCTCCGGGTCATCCGAATGAGGGCGGGCCATGTCCATCGCCATGCTGATGAAGTCAAAACGTCCACGCCTGTGACCTGATTCAGAGCCACTCCTATCGGAGTAAACCCTTCGTGTCCGCTCGTCATCAGTGGCCTGGCGGAAAATACGATCGTCTCCATCGTCGGCGTACCTGCCACGGCTCCTGGGTGTATCCCTACCGGGATCTTCACCCCTGCACTCCTGACCTGTCGAACCTGCTTCGAAATCCTCGTAGTCACAGTCCGGTAGGTCCTCACCTGAGCGGAGGCCACCTAGGATGGCCTCCTCATCCACGACGCTCCTTCGAGATCGTGGGGTCGACATAGAGCTTGTAGTTGATGGTCTCAAGCGCGTAGGAAAGTCCTACGGCTGATAACCTGTGATTCGGGCACGAGCCTGTGCCCAGGCAATGGGTAAGTTGGGGTAAACAAGCCACAAAAGAAAGGTTCCCCAAAAGCAAACCAATCCCCGGTCCCAAAGATCAGGGTTTCCCACACACCAGAGAACAACAACCAAAGGAAAACAAACCAAACCAGAAAAGGATACCCGCAACCTAGATCGACGATGAACCGCACGGGCGATCCCCACCAACCTACCCCGGGCCGAAGTCTCTTTCTCCTCCGACACGAAGGCGGTCGACGTGAGGGCCCGGCGACGCTCATCCGAGGCGCGCCGGATCCAAAACTTGAGCCAAAACACCACAGGTCGGTCACTAACGCGACGTCCCTGATGATGATATGAACCATGGCTAATCACAAAATATAATATTTCACAAACCTGAAATAAGGTGGTCCGGGGGCCATTCCGCACATGAACCACCATTTCAGGTGAGGTCATGTGAGGTCGTTATAATTCACCCAGACCCACTGTTCTCTTGCAGTACTGGCACATTGTTTGAAGAGAAGGATCCCTGAAAATGGACAAGAAAGGTAACGCCCGGCAACCACTTTCGCCTCACCTTCGGAGCCCCTACCCTCGGCCTTTCGGGGAAATCTTCATTCGAAGGAACCTAAGGCACCAGCAAAAACATCGAGGCTGTAGAGGCCTGCGACCTGAGTCCGAGTGATTTCTGGGCGGTTTGCCCTCCTTCACTTCAACCTGAGCGCTAAAGAGGAGCTCTGGCAGGAAAAAACACTTTTCCCCTTGATGGGTGTGGCTCAACATTCAAGAGCTAGGGCAAACCGCTTTTGGTAGGTTTTGCTAACAATTGAACAACCACACATATCGGGCCTACTTTGCACCCAGCAGCAATTCATTCCATGGCTCTTGCTGAGAAAGGTATCAACCGCGTAGTGGAGAGGGAGTATGGGGCGGTGTTTCAGCTCCCAAATCCACCATTTTGCGAGTCTTACATCCGTAAAAGCGAACACTGGCTGCAACAAATCAGCTTCGCGTTTGGATTGGTGGTTTGGATTGGCGGTTCGGAGATGGTTTCCCATTTGCGGTTCAAATCCGAAGCCAAACCGCCAATCCAAAACACTAAGGGGTACGGTGGATGCCACTAAATATTGCAAGTATAAAAGGGGGTCCCTGCAAATTCCCATGGTTTCGTGGTTGATTTACTTGCCGTATGAAGGGCATCCACCTGAACAGAGATCTCCAAACCCCCCGCCAATTCAACCTCTAAGGGCCTGGAAAAGGGGGGGTCTGGGAGCGCTGACACCTCAAGGAATCCAGCAGCTCACTTCACAGGTCCCTGCGATTCACCCAGCGGTCAATGAAAAAAAACACCGCAAACCCACTTTTGTGGCTTTTGGGGCGAAACAATTGGACCCCCAAGAAAACAACCGAGCTCAACAAAAAACTGGAAGGATCCCAAGCCAGAAAGGACTAAGGATGGCCTTCAAACAGTTCAAAGATAGGCGATCCCCAAAAGGACAGCTCTGTTTTTACCCCCACCCCCCCCCCCCCCCCCCACATCCTGCTGAGCTGGCCGCTGGCAAATGAAATGGGTGGCGCCCACCAAACATCCAGCACTTTGGACCAACCGAAACAGCTCCTCCGCGCAGGGCTTGGTCTGAGTGCTTGTTGCATCAGATTCTGTAATTACCCCACAAGAAAGCCTCTTATTGAATAATTTGACCACTTTGGGTCCATTCCCCGAGAGTGCAACGAATGGGTAACTTACTCAAACCTGCCTGAGCAGCTGCTCCCGGAACTAAAAAACGATTTTGAGCGAACCTCAACATGCAAAAACACAAATGCAAAAGAGATGCAAGCAAACCTTGGGTTCCTCAACAAACCTAAGGAGGCCTTTAAACCCCAAACATACCTCAGGGAGGCCTAGCCAAAGCCGTGGAAGCAAAAAAGAACTCCTTCCTCCTCAAACCTAAGGAGGCCTTTAAACTCCAAACATACCTCAGGACCGCGGATAATTAGAAAAGCAGAACAACAAGAAAAACAAATATAAAAAAGAAACAAAACAAAACAAAACAAGCCCGGGGCACCCGACGCCCACCGACTCGGTGAAGGATGCAGACACCGAGTTGGTGGGCCGAAGTCTTTTGGACCTGGCACACTCCAAGATCTCCGAGGACGCCCTTTTCACCTGGAACCTGACGTCCGGGGCGTGCTAATTAGTTTGGGGCATTTTCCTTTTCAAAATGACCATTTCCCTGTTGAGTTCCAAAATCCTCTTGTGCACGTCCGTGATAGTTAAGGAACATGGAATTCCAAGAGTCAGAACCAAAAGCAGTAGGAGCCTGGTTGCAACCAGCAGGGAAACCCCAAATAAGACTAACCAGAGGCGAGACCTGTGAGGACGATATCGATACCTTTGCTCAGTTGCCCAGTTTGGAGCCAGAAATAAAGCGTGAATTCGTCCTTTGGAAACTTGAAGGGAATGAACCCGGGGGCCCCTTCAAGGAAACCACCAGTTGGATGGTTGTAGGGGCAATTCATTCCCTCACTCCCTGCTGAGCAGCAAGCTAAAACTGGCCCAAACCAACTAAACCAATATCTGATGGCAACACCTCTGAACCCATGGGGCTGCCACCGTGAAGCCGATCGTATCTGTCAAAATAGGGTCACCCAATAGATTGGGGGGCTTTCTATTTGGTCCCGTTCAGCCAGCCCCAAAACGGATACCCAACAAAACCACACCCGCACACACGCACACACATAAGCCCTACGGATTCAAACCCCATGGTTCAAACAAATCGAACGCCGCTTTTGATTCCAGCACCCCGAAGCCAAGACAGGAATTAATTTGCTAACTTCACCAACGGTTGGCTTGAAATAACTCGCGAGTACAAAAAGGTGTTTGATCCCCACTCCTAAAAGGACAAAACAAATGTCACACGCACATCCACACATTAATTGCTTGCCATGCCCCCAGAAGCGGGCAAGATTCCGGGGACGACTTCCCCTGAAAGTGCAAGTCATATGAGCTGCCTTTCTTGCGTCGACCGGAAAACAAAGTGGTGGTAATGAAAACTGCAATCGTGTACGGCCTGGTTGGCTTGCAAAATCCACACACAAAGTGCGGATCTGAACGCAGCCATCCCAGGCTGGTAAGAAATGCAATGGCCACATGATAACTGGAAGCCCTTGTCAATCCCCTACATTAACGGGGAAGGGGGTGGGGGGTCCCACAATACAAAGTATCCAGTCTTGCCCATAAAAGGGAAAATGGAACGATAAATTGGAATTCCCGGGGGTCCTTCTCACAAACGAAATCCTCAACAAATGAAAGGCCATGTAAGTTGGATGGATGGTTTGTGGCTTGATGGGTCAGTCACTACTCTGTTCACGGTGCTGCGTCTCATATTCCTTCCTCCTCGCGAGAGGTTTCTCTTGCTAACCTCATTGCCACATCTCAGTTGCAACCAATCATCTCAGAAGAAGACTTGGACCCTGTTGATTGGTTGATTCCTTTTCAGTGCATCCCGAAATCACCAAACAAAAATGCCTTCTAAGAAGCCGTGAACTGGAACGGCCCGTACGCCGAAGGGTTCGCCGCTACGCGAGTAGAACCAGAAAAAGTCCAGGCGTTTGTTTGCCACTGAAATGATCTTCCCAACGCAAGCGTCCAGAAACTTGGGAAGCGGGTACTCGAGCGTCGAGGAATCAACCCTTACTAGCCTTGGGCAACTCCGAACCATGGCCAATGGTCCAAGCTGTCAAGCTACAGAGCAATATTAAAAAAGCCACCTGCTTCCCCACAGCTATCCTCTCATCCAGCTGCCTGGCCGCCTGTATCCTAGGGACCTTGAGAAGCTGGGCAAGTCTGGGTTGCTCAGAGGTGGGATCGACCTCTTGTAGACTTCATAGCAACTTGGGTGTGTCGTTTAGTGAGGGTACCTAATTGGGCTGGGCTTAAAGGAAAACCAGAAGGACAACCATAAATTTTGGGGTACCCCCACGTTGCACACCACCCCTTTTGTTTCCAAAGGCTATGGAATCCCTAAGAAGGCTAGGTGCATTGCGGGTGGTGGGAAGTTGAGAGCCCCTTTCGGGTTCTTACAGCGGCGAGCATCCGATCCCACCTCGGCGGCTCCCCGGTTCTGTAGGTCTCCGGGCCTAAGCTGAGGCCAAGTAGCCGGTCTTCTTTCGGAGTTGGTCCCCGTGGGCTGTTTTGAAGGGAAACCGCCACGCAATCACTCACAATATCTTTTTTTCTCACGAAACCGCTCTCATGGTATTGTTTAAAGCCTTTTGGGGTGGCTCCCTGATTTTGAGAAAAGCAAGTTAAAGCAAGTAAATGGGAGTTGGGAACAGGTTGGCACTCCCCCCCCAGCCTTGCTGGCTGGGTGCGGTTCACTTGAAGATCCATAGCCCAAACTCCCTTTCCACGCCTTGCGTGGTATGTGACCCAAACAAGTCTAGGGGTACTTTCCCCGTTCTTCTCAGGGATCATTCTTTCTAGAAAACCTCCGGAAACCCAGGGAAAACGGCCAGTTTTTTGAAAGAATGATGGCTGCGGGGGATCAACCCCTAGAACAAGCCAAGGTGGCATTCTCGAACCCCTCCAAGATGAGGGTCTGGGACCTTTGATCTAAACTAGCAACACAGGGCTCCTCTTCGACCTTCGCGGTGGGAATTGAAGGAACCCGTTGATGAATAAGACCAAACAGCCACAGTAGACACCCAACTGGTTGGTTTCTTCGAGCAACTTCATCAAGTGGCACTCAAGCTTATTAACCTTCTCTACCTTCGGTGTGTCTTTTTTTGTTTGGGACCTCCAAAATGGTGGTGTTCCTTTTGTTTTCCCTTAAAACAGTGGCGCCCTCCCGAAAAGACGAGGCACCCCACTCACCTGGCCGCTCGCCCGGCGCGCCGATTCGCCCGATTCGCCCGGCGCTCGCCCGCTTCGCGCTCTGGGCCGCGGGGCTCAGCGCTTCGCTGCCGGCCAGCAGCAAAGGCCCGAGGCAGATCTTGGCGTCGCTCACCGGCGCGCCTTCGAAGAAGTCCCGCGCTTCCGCGCGCGGCGCGCGGCTTCGGAAGCGAGGAAGCGAGAGAAGTGAGAGAAGTGAGAGAAGTGAGAGAAGTGAGAGAAGTGAGAGAAGTGAGAGAAGTGAGAGAAGTGAGAGAAGTGAGAGAAGTGAGAGAAGGGGGGTATGGTGGGGGAATTGGGGGGAGGGTTTTGGGAAAGCAATGAAGGGAGGGAATGCACTGAGGTGAAGTAGTTTTGGGAGATTTGGTCTGTGAACTTGTGAACCCTTGGAGTCACATCTGAAAGTGTGCTGGCCGAGTTTGTTGGAGTCCTCTTAAAGATTGAGTAGTTTCGACAAGTACTAGTCTCGTACAAATCTGGATCTGGTACCCCGGCCTCCCTACAAGGCTCACCGGGAGGGGGGGGGGGGGACCATGGAAACGATTTCCCTTTGGTTTGCCTTGAAACCAACCCGGAAAATCCAGGTGCCCTCCCAAAATTTAGACACCCATATTCATTCTCGAATCAAGGTGCCGGGCCTCCAGATTCGGAAGCTCGCGGAAGGGGTATACCCTTATACCCAGTGCCTCATCTAGCCACATATAGCTGGTGGTTACATGCCCGTCTCCAGCTTCTCCCGCCATGCGGCCAAGGGACAATCCAGCGCGGACAGGGCATGCACAGCTCCCAACTCTCATTAGATGCGTCTAAATTTAGGATATCCAAATGTCAAACCTTCATGAAGTCCCTTTGTAAGGTCGGTCGCCGTGCTTTAAGAATCTGAAAATCGGAAGTTCATGGCTGCCTTGGGCCATACATGGATCATCACAATCCTCCCCAAGATTGACTGGGTTCACCCTACTTACCCAGACCCCTGTGGATTTGCAGGAAAACAAGGTAAGGCATTTTACTGTTTAAAGGGAACCCCCTCCAAAAACATGTAGAAGGGAGCAACCTGCTGGAGGGGTATAGATATCCAAGTTGCCAAATGATCCTAGTGAAAAAACATATGGTTGGTTTATCTCAAGCAAATGGTATTGGAACAAACCGCCTATATCCCTGCTTCTCCCACATTCCTTTCTACCCACCCCCCCCTCCCCAGGTTAACAGAGAAGCTGAAAACCAGACATGTTTACGCGAACCTCTCATTGGGGGACTTCCCCCCAACAAACTAACATGGGACCTATCAGAGTCTGGTCACGCGTGATCCATGATAGCTTCCATTTCTGGCTTCCTCTTTGCGTTGTGTTCTGTTTCTTTCTTGGGGGACCTCTTTCTGCCAGTAGGCACTTGGAATAACTCAAAATTACAAGACCCAGGGTCACGCAGGTTTTAGTCCTTGGCATTTGCCAAGGCGCCATTTTGGCACCATGTGTTTGAGCCAAGGCGCCACTTCCGGCGGACGGACCTGGGCCCTCCGGCCCCAGGCCCCCGACCCGATCTCCCGCCTGCGCCCTCGAGGGCCACACTCACCGGCAGCTTGGCGCGCTGGATGGCCTTCACGAACTCCAAGGTCACCTCGAGACGCGAGCCACGGGCCCCACCGGCGTCTCGAAATCGAGGGCCCGCTTTCTCCGACGGCAAGATCACATTGACAGGATGAGCCAGAGGGCACGGCGGCAACGTCTTAGGGTTTGGAATAAGAGCGAATCCGTGTAACGCCCTTCGCTCTTCTCACTTCCTGAGTGGATTGCTCAGAAATTGTTTACCACTAAAATGGTCCAACCCCCAAAAGTGAGTGAGGAACTCAACAAGTGAGTCTTTAAATGTGACGACAAAAGGTAAGTCATAGTAAATCGACAAAAAAATGGGACAATATATATATATATATATATATCTCTCTCTCTCTCTCTCTCCCTCTCTCTCCCCATTAACCATCACCCCAATCAAGCAGACTCATCTCACAATGGCTAAAGAGCTGATGCTTCAATCATCAAGGGACATGTGAGAGCTTTGTCACCTAACAGCGTGATCGGGCAAAAAAACGAACTGGATGCCTTTGCAGGCCTCTCCAATTTTGATTTGGGGGGGCGGAACCCGCCGGGAATCTTTTCTTTGTTGGCCACCTTGGAAATGGACAGGTGTTTGCTTGCAGAGGAAAGTCACTCAATCCCCGTCGAACCAATAGTTGGGCAGTTTACTGCTGGGATCCAACGAAACTCCCAGATTGGTGGATTGGGCTTTCCTGTTCGGGAGTTGTAATCTAGGTCCTCCAGTGAAAGAGGTTAGAATATGGGTACCCTCTTTTTGTAGTCTATTTTAGTAGGGGAACCCTCCCCCCCAAAAATGGTGAGACAGGGCACTACTGCTAGTCCAAGTGCACTTCTCCTTTTCAGGCCATTGGGAAAGTGCCCTCTGACTATGTGTGGTTGCACAAATTTCAGGCTGCTGTGAAATTATGCAACCGAAAAACAAACACCCGAGAAAAAAAAAAAAAAAAAAAAAAAAAAAACTGGCTGAACTCCCCACCCCAGCTCGAAAATATGAGGGCCTCGCGGTTTTACCCAGTTTTGCACTTTTGGGTGTGGCTGAAAACTAAGCATCTGGGGGTACGCAGATGTTGGTCGATGTTTCCATATAGAAAGGTCCCACGTGGGTACCTGTTTTGACCATAGAGGGACTTCTTGAATGGATATGGAACATCCCCCTTCATGTCTGTGGTTCTTGGGTGAAGCAAATTGGACTACCCACGACCAGTTGCTACTTCCCAAAAGGAGATGCCTCAAGACTGAGCGGGGGTTTCGGGGGTTTGTTCCAGCTACACATCTTGGGGGAGAAATTGGGGGATGCTTTCGCATTCTGAGCAGTCGGCATTGAAGTTGCCGATCTCCTTCTCCGTGGTTACGCACTTTGCGCCTCAGCGATCCCCGCTTCTTCACGCCGGGGTCTCTTCTACAAGAAGAGAGGGTTCAAGCCCCAAACCACAAATCCAACCACGAATTAAGGGTTACCTGAAACAAAGCAACGTGCATGGCAAGAATCGTGAAGCTTCCGGTAATGTAGCGGGTTGGTTCCCCTTGTCCCCTTGATTGAAATGCCATCATGGTTGTGGAAAATCACACTCTCTGTCATACCAATACGGGTCATTATCCTAAGGATTGTCCTACTTTGACACTTTCAAGGGGGCTCCTTCGAATAACAGAAACTTGGAATGAACACAACAAACATACAACAAGCTAGTTTCTGATTCTGGGTCATATTTATCCCCAATTTTTGAAGGAGACAGCCGGATCAAGCCCACCTAAACATATTTCGGTCAAAAGTCATCCCATGGCCTGATCGAATCTGGCTCCTGAGCCCTTGGCTGCGTCCGCCTGGCCCGGCCTTCGGGGCGAAGGGGGTGAGTGGGTGGGGTGGGTGGTGAGTGTGCTCGTGGTGGTGGTGGTGGTGGTGGTGGTGGTGGTGGTGGTGGTGGTGGTGGTGGAGGTGATGGTGGTGGTGTGGGTGGTGTGGGTGGTGTGGGTGGCAGGTGGTGGGTGGGGTGGGTGGCAAATTATGGGCAGGTGGGTGGTGGGTGGATGGTGGTGGTAGATTCGCAAAGTGGTATTTGATCGCACCCTTGCTTTAACTTAGCTGTGATTCCAACTCCTTCCCTACTGAGAAGCAGTGGTGGGTCTGAAAAAATGTAAAACATATACTTCACTTGTTGAGTTTCCATTTGGGAAAATTATGAAAATCACGGGCCATCTGCGAGTTTCTCAAATTCTTATCGAGGGGGCCCTAAAATGGGGGGCGGGTTCCATTTGGTTCTTTATTCCACCCATCCCATCCACGGATGGATCCCCGAGATTCACCGCACCCGCCTGTCGAGGTTTCACCTCTGAAGCGCCGAGGCTCACCGCCACCGAGGCGGACAAGTTGCCGCCGGCGTCCAGGAAGGGTCTGACGCGCGCCACGCGCGACTCGCGACCCGGCAAGGTCAGGCAAACGAGGGAGACGGGAAATCCCAGACCGGGTCCCAGTGGATTTGCGTAAGGACAAAGGGGCCCTTTGTGGTATATATTGATTGAAAAAGGGCCCCCCTCCAACTCAAGCAAGTATTTTAACTATCCATTGGAGGTGCACTTTGAACGATAAGCAGCTATGACGGCGAAATAAAATCGCTGTACTGCAGTGGTGGGCTATGTGAAACCACATTTAAGTGATGATGATCGGACAATCGTTTTGTAATTAGTTGGCCCTTTGTAGCTATGTGTTTTCGTGTTGTGTGTTGGAAGGGGAAAGCAGTTTGTCGTTCAAAGGTCTAAGGGGCGATCCGGCCAAAGATCGGCCATGACTGCAATCGACTGCAATCGCAGCCAAGAAAGAAGGGACCACCAGCCAGCGCCAAATTTTCACTGCCCAAAGGACCAGGAAATACAGTCAGCCAGGCCCGACCCCAGCCCCAGGAAACCAAAACCTTCGGCTCACGAAGGGGGGTTGGGTCCAAGGGTCTGAGGAAACAAGTTCAACGCGTTTCTTCAGGTTCCTTGATAGCCTTCGGAAGCCAAACCAACCACTCTGGAACACGAAAACCAGCTGTCCCCCCTTGAAGAGGAACGCTCCCTTTCTTAAGTCGTTGTTCTTTTATCCGCCTCCTTCTTCATGCACAACCTACGGGGGGAGCCAAATCCATAGCAAGCATCCCCGCCCGGCTGCCGAGAAAACACGTTCAACGGACGAGAGCTAAGCGCCAGGCATCGACACCGTGCAGTTGCTCACGGAGGGGTGAAAGCTCGCCTGCCTTCGCCCGGTGGATTTTCAGAAGAAAAAGAGGGCACCCTTTATCGGCCCAAACAATACAAAACTTGTTCCTTACCACTAAAATGGTCCAAGCCCCAAAAGTCTCAATTCCAGGATTCCGAGAGTGAGTAAAGGCAGTAACAAAGGAGCTACTGGACGTCTGGGTGAGTGTCGTGAGTACCACTTTAAAACATATCCGGCAGGTTGTTTTCGGTTGCCGCCTTTCCCGACTCAAAGCACCGAACAGGTGCACACCGGAGTTGAAAGTTCCCACCTCCGGTCTGTTTTTAGACCAGCTGACAAACAAAAGTGTGCGACGTGCGAGTTGCAAGGCTTGGTTTTGGACCAGCTTGCAGCTGAGAGTATTGAGGCTCCTCTCAAAGAAAGCGTCTGGCACACATTCTCGGCATTTCTCGGCACGACAATTCTCGGCCTTTCTCGGCGCACGACATCAACTGGCAACCCCAAGTGGGAAAAAGCTAAGTGGGACCTCCACCGGACAAAATGCCCAGTTGCTGATGAGACAGTGAGACCAGGAGAAGGGAAAACAGCTCTCTCTGTGATCAGTCTAGCGGGGCCCCCCGAACAAAAAGGGAAAAAAGAGGCGCCACTAAACTTTGCGGGTGCCATCTGAATACACATTCAACTGAATGTCATTAGGGTGTTTGTGCATTGTTGAGGGTACTCCTTGTTGGCTGGTTGTACGAAACATCAACATGAAACTATACCCATGTTGGGGGCCTCCTAAGGAACAACAACCATTCAATTTAGTAAGCTCTCAGGACCTAACGCGGGACACCCGGGGCGTTGAAACCAGAGCGCGTCCCCCTCCTGGATCGGGACTTGTCCAGGAATAGCTCCCAGTTGCAACAAGTGACCCGGACGGGGGAGAAAAAGCTGGAGTGGACCCATTCTTAGGGGATAGGGGCTCAACCAAAGACAAAAAGATCTTCTTATCCGTCCCTGTTGACCATTGAGGGCTTGACTTCGCAATCCTTGGTATTTGCTAGCAAAAAGCAAAAACAACTGTGTTTTTTGCCGCCCACCCCCCCACATGAACAGAACTAAAAACAAACAACCTCGCCAAGACCCGTGCAGTTGAGAAGCGCCACGGCGACAGAAACCGTGTTCTTTCTTTTTTGCAGCGTCCTACTAATAATGAACAAGAACAAAAAAACTTGATCCTGCCACCCCCCAGCAAAAATGAACAGAACCCAAAACCCGAAAAACCCAAGAAAATCTCGATCCCAAACACATGAAGCTGAGAGAAGCGCGACGTGAGCGTCGGCCGTCGGCTGGGCGTCCCGGGCACGCAGAGTTTGAAGGCCACGCTCCGAGGCTCGAAGTTCCAGGCGAAGGGCTTGGACATCACCCCGCCTGAGGCTCCGTTCCGTTTGGAGCCGAACACGCCAAGCCACAAACCAAAAGGGAGAAGAACCGCCAGTTTTTGGGTCCAGCTTTCTGATCAAACATGTGTTACACCCACTTTTTGTTGGGATCCCCTGGGTTTTTATGAAAGACAATGTGTTGCTTCCTGAGGTTGGCCTGGACATTCTGAGCTTCTGGTTTGCTGCCAAAACGGTCTTGCCGAAAACGCATCAGGTCCAAACGCCGGAGAACTGCTTCGCGGATCTTTCCCGGGCACAAACGCCGGCAATGCTAAGTGCTCTTCACATTCGCAGTCCTTATAATAACTGGGTGAATTGTAATTATTTCACCAGCCTCAAATAGGTGGTTGGAGGGATAGTTCCCACATAAACCACCATTTGGGTGAGGTCGTTATAATTCACCCAATTATAAGCACTTTCTGATCAAGGTCTTCCCAATGCTGCCAGTTGCCACTAAAGGTCACCAGGCATGTTGACCTCTATCGACCCATGAGATCCCATGAGGTTTGCCAGGATTGGCTTTGAACAGCCGTGGCACACCCTAGGCTGACAGGTGTTCAGCAAAGCAAGGGCCCAGTTGATTCACGGTACCTCAGCTTTCCCCATCAGTCTGGTCAGAAAACATTTCGTGCACCTACCCAAATGTTGAAATCAGTAAGTCCAAGTGACATACCCCACGCTTCCGGCACCTGAGGTGCCGAAACTCTGAGCTCCCCGCGGGTGCTGTCAGTCCCCACGGGGACGGTGAGACTATCATAGGCACCCTCTTCGTGCCTTGAGAAACAATGAGCCTGCTGCAATCCATGCATCTCCCAAATCTGCAGTAACAGAAAATAAGATATCTATACTCAGGTTACGGCTCATAGTCACAGTACACATAATGGAGCAGACCGCAGGAATGATGCCGGAATCCTCATGCAAAACAAATAAGTCCAAGACAATTAGAGTTGTCACTTTCCCACGTTTGTCAGGAATCATTCGTCCAGAAACACCCTAGCAACATGCTAAAACCATGCTAGAACCATGCTAGAACCATGCTAAAACCATGGGACACTCATGTTTTTCTGTCTAACGATGATTATTGAGCCGGTGGTGGTTAGGCTTTGGCTGTCCCATTTGCCCTCTACAAGAACCTGAGGTGCAAATTCCTTAACCACCAATCCGAACCACCACTTCAAGCTTACCTGAATGAAACTAGGACTCAAAACAAGGCATCCATGTGTACAGGAGCCTCCCTTTCAAAAACCCCTTCTTGGATTCCATGCCGACTTGAAGGGAACCTTTGCGGCAGGGTTGGGCGATCCAAGTAGGCCCCTCGCAGCAAAGATTGGGGGGGTTGGTGGCTCGCCTGGCTGGAAACCTAGGTTGAACTCTTGCGGAGCTGGACTCAAATGACAGAAGTGGAAAGGGAACCCCCAGCGTCTGCTTCTAGCCTCAAAAAAAAAACACGGACAGAGAACTAACCGGATATACTTGAACCTCTTGGCATGTTGGGACCTTGGAACATGGGCAAAGGAAGCCAAAAAGGCGGGCTTTGGACAACAGCTCGAGAGTGCCGCGATCCCGGTGTCTGACAAATCGGGGAGCCCCCGTTTTGCACGACAAGCTCCAGCAGTTTTCGAGCTCCCTAATTTTGAGGCGACATTCCCCCCACCCACGCGTTGCCGCACGCAGCTTTTCTCTGTCCGATTTCAGGCATTGACCGCTGGGGTTCCCAAAACTTGCCGAGGCACCAAGGACACTCACTTGAAATGAGTGGCCCCTTTTTTGTTTGGGACCCACAAAATGGCTTTGGTTCTTGCCTTTTGGTTTCCCTTTAAAACCAACCAAAATGAGTATTCAGCCAAAAGTCCCTATGATGTAATGTTTAAAACCAGCAGAAGAATTATCGGGAACCCCGTCTGGAAAAAGTCGACGTCAAAGTGCGAACTAGATCTCCTCCTGGGCGATGCGTTGGCAATGCGCGACGCGATGGCCCTCGATTCCCAGCATCCCACGTCGTGTCTCAACCTTCCCCCAAGCAGGCCTTGAATAACGTGTTCTTGGAGCCCGAATTGAAGGCCAGGGGCAGTTACTGGAGTCAGGGCCCGCGGAACCATTTCCAGGGGTCAACCCAAGCAAAGGCAAGAGCCATGGTGGCTTGGTCAGGATATACCTTCGTTGAGGTCAGTCAGGGCTATCTGCCTGCAATGGTTTGGACCTCTTTAGATCCCAAGATGCGAGTTTGTGTTTTCTCGAATCAGGCAGTCGCCCTCAACCCCTCGGGCCAGTCTCAGGGAGCACATGAACGCCCTACCAAACAAGTTTCACATCACAAGCGCCTTTCAAAGGCCAGAACTACGAGAAATGGGCACCCTATCGGTGACATGTACGCTCGGCACAGTACCAAGAACATGCATACCAAAGCCTGATGTTCCAAACCACCCCGGTTTCCACAACCCCTTCCAGCCAACACACACACACAAGCACGCAAACACACGACGTGCCTTTTCTTGCAATCCCCAAGCATAAAATATATATATATATGTATAAATATTATATATATACATGTATATCACGATGGCACGTGTCCCGGCTTTGGGTTCTCTCAGCCAAGCGTCGCTCTGAATGTTCTTGTAGATGGAAGCCATGAGCCCACCAGTCCTTGCAGGACGCATTGGGCGACCCAGCGGCTACCACTGGACAGCCCTCTGGTGGAGCTCGGTGCTTTGAAGCCTGGTGGTTCCCATTGACCGACTGAGGGTTTCCTGACATTGGGCTTTCAGAAGTGCCATGCAAAGATTAAAGCAACCATTGGGCTTCATGAGTGCCGTGAGTCAGTGTGACCTATGACCTCTGCGTTGCGTTGCGGGTTGCGTGGCTAGGCCGCCTGAAGGGAGCCACAAGCGCGGGCTTTGGTGGTGGCGACGGTTGCTGCTTGACAGGCGGGTCTTCTTTCGCGCTTGGGGCCCAAGTTTAGATTGGCCGACCAAATCCCAAGCTGTCAGAGCCCCACAGCGCGGCAAGCCCAACAGCATGCACTGCGCTGTCTAATCAACCAAAGGTTCATACTGGTTAGGCTCAAAGCTCAAACCATGAAACTGGAAAAACCGGAAAATGTTGTTTCGCCGCCTACTCCACCGCTGCGGTTCCATTTCTAAGGAGGAGGGGATGGTAGCGTGGCACCTAAAACGCGTGCTGGACGCAGCCGAAATTTGGACGGAGGGCAAACAATCTCACATTATACCACCCCATCATGGGATCATGTTGCTTTAAGTACCCCCCACACGCCCATTTGAAAGTGCTCAGCCCAGTTGCCATCATTGCGACGAGCTTTTGGAGATCACTCGCGGGAAACAAGAATGACTTCCCGAAAAGCCGAGAAACGGCAGCACGGGGCTCTACCCGAACCCTCTGATCCAAGGCAGGCGCACGCCACAGCCTTTGCCCGCGCCAACCTGCGCTCTGGCCGCCACTCAGAGTCCATTCAGGCGGTTACATGTTCTCAAAATTGCCTCAAGTCAGCATGGAACCCATGCCTAACTAATCTAGAAGATTACGCTTTGCCCATGATCAAACCGTGTGCTGGTTAGTGGGGAAAGCATGACATTTGCCCAACAGTTCCAAGTTCAAGACCCAACAGCAAGCGGCACATGTGGGGCCAAAGAACAATCGCCGGAGTCTTTTTGATAAAATATCACCATCGAGCAAACCTGTCTGAGAGGGAAGCATCTTCCGACCCAATTGACGCCACCAATTGTCTTCCCTTGGCCATCTTTGAGCAGTGGCTCGGAGAGCCCTACCCAATCTCCAAATAAGACTCCAGAGAGAGGGAGCCGGGTTTGGCACTTTGTATCAGTTGCTCACTTTCGGCGACTACGGTGAACCTATGTACCCTTTCGTTCGCTCACAGACAGTCCGTAAGTTTTCCATGATAAGACCCCTACATGTCCGAGTACAAATGCTTGACACCCATAACACCAGGTTCCTCCAATGTTTTCCCCCGCGAGCAACAATGGATGCCACGTGGGACTAGACCTTCAGCATCCGCTTGCTCAGGCTCCTGCAAAGGGTTTAATCTACGGTGGTTCTCTTAACAAATGGTAATCGCTGAATAGTTGCCCCGCGTCACAGTTGGAACTGCTTTGTCTGGGACCCTCTGATGAATAATTCGGGGGGTGGTTAGTCAGGGGTCAAGAATGCCTAGATGTTGCTCACCTTCTCAGGCAATGACTAAGCATCGGCCAACACTGGACAACGCATCCAAAGGTCGGCGAGCAAAGAAGGTCGGGGAGGGCTCCTTTGCAAAGGGTGCCTCGTCATGCGGCGCATGTTTAATGAGGCGGGGGAATGGCGAGCAATTGGCACAGGGAACCCATGTTGGTCCCGGGAAGGCCTTGTGTCCAACTGAAACCATACCCAGCCTACCCAAGCATGAAAAGTTTTGGAGGAGGCCTAGTCAAATCGACCTGGAAAGGGTACCTCCAAACAAACACACATCCAAATGCAAAGTCAGCAGTCAGCTGGGAGCTCGGCAAACTTCTTGTGGTCCCACATCTTTGCAGCCTCCCGCGCGAGCGTGTCGATGGGATAGGCATATCAACTGCTCAAGTACTCCTCAAGCTGGGCATTGGACGCCCCCTTGATCGTCCGAAAAAAACAAACGCAACATGTGCACAGGAATCTTAGAGAAAATGGGAAACCAAGGTTACCAGTAGTGGGGATAGGGGGTTGTTTGGGGTTGCTCATAGGTTGTTTGACAAGGCGGGGCCCAGGTTCCGCACACCCGTCGCTTCAATTTTCCGTCAGGATCCGGCCACTTGCTTGTTGTGCATGTCCGTGTTCAGCATCAACCTAAGCGGCGGCCCTCTACTTCCGTTGCTAAAGAGTGGTTGAAGGAATCTGCCTCAAGAAGAGACAACCTTGCACGCATATGGGTGTGTCCCAAGTGAACCGGAGAAATGCATGAGCCAGAACTCGTGAAACATGCTGCCTACAACCTCACAGGGCCCGACCAGGTGATTCCATCTACTCATGGCGGTACATCGCATAAAACACCCAAAATCAAATGATCTTGGCAACCAAGATGATAGATATGCTTGGTGCAAGGGAACATAGACATTTCCCGAAGCAAGCTCAAAGGGTATAGGTAAACCTTACTTTGGCGACTGGGGAGTAGCATCCTTTTGCAGACAATAGGCCAACTTCCCGTGCCATTGATGTTGGGCTCCAGGTGAGAACCAACACCCTGCTTTTCAACACCAACATTTCAGTGACGTCAACACCAGACTGAACCATGCTGCATTTACCCTGAAAAACCCTGCAGCAACACAAACAAACAAATACCAAGAAACGACCGGCGGCGCTACTTGGGTGTGATCTGTAGTGGTTTTGAGGTGGTCCCCTATTAAAATTTGTTTACACCGGATGGGGCAAAGTTTGCATCCAAAGCGGAGAGCTCCGGTCTTCGGCTTCCTGGGCCGCCCCGCGTGGTGTAGGCCAACCCGAAAAGGACCTCGTCGGGGGTGCGGTAGGTCTGACGCCTCAGCTTCGAAATGGGTTTCCCAGTGTTTTGTTTCATGCTACAGTACCAAGGGCCTCCCCAAACCAGTTCCCCAGCGACCCTGGCAGAAAAGGGAATTGAAGGATTGTCATGCAAAGAAAACCCATTAAACAAGAGGAAAATGAGCGGTTGGCGTAAGGGGTCCGTGAACACGATGCCAGTGCCTGGGTTTAACCCCAGCTGCTGGCGCATGGGATTCATCAGACTTATCTCACTTCCTGAGTGGGTTGGCCAACAACCAAAATGTTGGTTGCCACTAAAATGTCCTTCCCAAAAAGTAAAAAGTGAGACCAACACGCTCTGGCTCTTGGGGTTGACATACATGTGGCCAATGGCCTGATCATCTGGGTACCGAATGAGGGTGTCTGGAGAAAGATGACTTTCCGGATCCGGAAGGAGAAACTAACAATGCATTCTTGCTCCCAGCTCTGGTTGAACCTGGTTTGCTTCCCCCGTTTTGAGCAAAACAACCTCTGAGTGCTGTGGTCACCTGGAAAATCCCCACAGAATACCAACCCCCTTCTTGGCTTCCGTTAGGGGAGGCAAAAAACCTCTAGACTCGAAGCGCTTAAAACGAAAACAGTCCCGGGGTGGGCCCCGTCCAGGTGCCCCGGCTCCTTCTCCGGCAACATGGAGGCCTCGAAGCCTACAGATAAACAAAAAGAGAAATGGGCACAGGCAACTCCCAACGAGTGGGATTGGCCAAAGGTGCAAACTTGTTGTTGCCAAGAAAAAGTCTTCCCGACAACTGAGCTAGGCGTGTTCCTGACCAAATGAAACGAGCCACCTCTCAAATGGGACACTCCCAAGGACCAAAGCAAGGGTAAATTGATCTTGGGGTCCCATTGGCATTTGGTCCGGCCTTAGGAACCCTTAAAGCAAAACGAGGTTGCCACTGAAGAAGTGGTGATATCGCAGTGGTTATCAGTGGCTCATACCCCCCAATGCCAATTAAGAAAAGCTGGCTTCAAAATGGTTTGTGCCCTTCCCTGTTTTGCGGGGTAGGCAAGCAAATTGTGGATTGGGGAGGGGCTCCGACCAGCGCGAACATTTGGGGGCCTTAAAGCCAGTTCGCCTACAGATGAACACACGAAGCCCCAAACCTGCTCAAAGCGAATCGATTTTTGAGACAGAAACAGTGAAGACACCATGTTAAAAAAAATATGTGAATTCTGAACACATGTGAAGACATGTGAAGACATGTGAAGACATGTGAAGACATCATGTTCCCTTTGCATTGGCAGCCTTAGCTTTGTTCTTGCTTTTGCTTTTCTGTTTTGTTTCTTCGTTTCCGCAAAAGGTGGGTGCTCCTTGTTTTGGGGAACCCCCTTTTTGGCTGTAAGGAAACCAAAAGGAAACCAATAATGTTCTCGTTTTGCATTGGGGTTCCCATTTTCACACAATCCCATGTCAACATTTGCTAGATCTCGACGTTTAGCCCGGGTTTTTGGTAGGCTTTAGGCGGGTTTTCATAGGAGCTTCCGGCATTGATCTGCAATGCCAAGTTTCTGAGATTCTAGGGCTTAATTACATTCTCTCACCAATTTTCCCAGGGCATGTGTCCATGACAATCAATCTCCAAAGAGAATAGGGAAGGTACCGCCACAAAGATGGTTTCCACCCCGAAGCCACCCTAGTCGGCTCCTGTGTTCTTCCCTGCTTGGTGCGAAGGTAATGCGCTGATTCATCCTTGCAGAGCTGCCTCGCGACAAAAAATCAGCAGCACGGGTTTGCTCTCTTGTGCCAAGACCAATAGAAGCAAACAACCAAGAATGTGAGGCATGGTGGGAAACCTTTGGTTGGGTTCCAATCTACGTACTTTGTCATTGTCAAGGAGCTGGAGGGGCACTATAGGTCCGATTGCGAATTCAATTCTCCTCAACCAAAGCTGAGCCAGCGGCATGTGAGGAACGCGGCGTCTGCCACCTCAGGGGTAAGGCGGAAGATAGGATTAGGCCAAACTCCAGGCCAACAAAAACACGTTTTGGGCGGTCAGTCCCCTTTGGGCGTACACCCTGGGCCATGGCCAACAACAGACTCCAATCTTTGGAAGCCGTAGGTTCAACGGCATTGGGAAATGCCCCCACTGAACTTGAAACAAGCGCCCACGTGAACATTTCCATTCGTCAGATTGGAATCCCTCCCGGAGTGGAGATCAGTCACTGCCAATGGCCCAAGGGTGGTTGACGTTGGAAGGGGAGCATTTTTTTTAGCAGTTGAGCGGGGATTTCCCACTAAACCACAATAAGCAAAAATGCAAAATGTTCCCAACGACAACCATGCCTACAAGGGTGGGCACAAGGCAACGGGCCCTGCTCCACTTTGGACCCGGCCAGAGCTTCAGCGAAGGCCTCGATGACCCGCTGCACAGGGTCAGCCTATCGGTTGGGGAAAAGGTTGGTGCGATAGCCAGAGAATGAGCCGGAATGATTCCGATTAATGCACATGCTTCCTTCTTTCGGGATCCCGAAACGCTTCATTGCCAAACCTGCTGTTGTTTCCCTGAGAACCAGCAAGTTCTGGCCTCAAAAACTCAAACTATTGCTCTGCATGGGCAGCTGCACCGACGCTCGTCACGAACGCGGAACAGGCCCTTAAGTGTTTGAAGCGGGGCAACGAGCCAGAGCCCGCGACCAAACCACCCCAAAGGCACTTGGCCGTCTCTGCTTCCTGAGTTGGGTTACAAACCTCCTAAACGGGGATGCACTGGGTGTATGACTCGGTCTACTGCAAAAGCAACCAGACAAGGCTTCGAAAATCTAAAGGTCGAAGAAGGCGCCTCCAGCTGCGACATCCGGATCGCGTTGGCGAAGAAGGAGCGCATGGCCGACCTGCGGAGCCGGCCGGCCCTCCGCCCAGCTCTCGCTCAAAAGGCGAGTTGCTCATATTGCCTCCAGGCGCAGTAGGACATGATCCAGGGTGTTGGGAATGAACCGTTTGGGGGATTCCCTTAAAGGAAGCCATAGGGGACTAGAGGGGTCATTCCATTTCTCACCCCCTGCTCAGAACCAGCAGGACTACTTGCTCTCCCCTAACATTACAACTAGTAGTCGTTACTAATATTAGTTTAACAAATATGGGGCGAGAACATTCATGATACTTTATTTTCTTCTCTGGTCATGGCGAAGTTTGCTTGAAAATAACCCCACAACTGCATTCTAAGTACTTTGGCCTTTTTGTGACGCGTGGTTGAAGTAGATGATGCTGCTCCCCTTATGTGCGCTAGGACGGCAAGAGCTAAATAAGGAAGGTGTGCCATCTACTGTTGCACCTACCTCCCAAAGAGGCTGAAAAGGAACCCTTCGATCAGAACGACGAGTCCCATCTAAAACCAACTAAACATAAGCTGGCCTAACATGTGACCTCGAGAGCGGCCCACCGCTCTCAAGTTGTGGGCAACCAGTCGATTCTCGCCTATGGCATGATCCCTCTGGACAATATACACCACTTCTATTGATGGGCAACTGCTGCGTTACGTGCTTTTATTGGTGGCCAACAAGAATGACCAAACCAAAAGGCGGGTGTCCCTGTGACTTCTTTTTGATAATAGGGTGAAAAGGGTACCCTCAATTATCCAAAAAAAAGCACACTCATTCCCAGACATGCCAACTTGATCCTTGGCTCCCAGCACAAAGAGGTTCCCATTGCTCTTGTCGTCCGTGGTGGAGGAAACGCCCCCCACAATGCCCAGGAACCAGTCCTCCGGATTGCAGACACTGGTGCTCAAAGTGGTTTGACCCAAACCAAGGGAAGGATTTCAAGGGCTTCCTATGTCTGGTCATTGTCCCTTACCACCCTTCATCTAGTGATTGCCCAGCTGAAGGCCACAAAAAAGCAGGGGCTGTAAACAAATGACAAACCAACTGGTGCACCAGTTTGCTGGTTGGTGATTGAAAGCTTTCGTTGAACCCAGAAAGGACCAACACCTGTTGTGAGACGGTGCCCTAGTGGACGATTGATGGCTCAAACGTATTCCTGAAAACTGTGAGTCCAAAAGAAGGTGCAAACCATGGTTGTGGCACATAACCATTTCTGTGCTAAAGTGGCAGATATCGCCCCACAAGTGTCGATTTTGTTGGATGTTTTCCAGGCCTGATGGTGGCTGTGGGAAATGGCACTGAAGGGCTTGTTCTGAAAGGGAAGCGATGGGAAAATGTAGGGCCAGTTTTCTGCGATAACAAGGGAATCCCCCTTTCAAGACATAACATATTCATAGGGATTGCCCGGGCTAACTTGGCAGGCAAAAAACATGAAGTTCTGGCACCGTGACAAACAGGAAGACACAATATACCAACAACACTGCCTGGGAAAGTTGCGGAGGAAACAACGATGGAAATCAGAAGCCGTTCTGGGATAAAGTGTGAATCCCGTCGACTCATGGGATTCCAAGCTCACACGTCCTTGCCAGTTGCCCAGGAGCCTAAATGGGATTTCCCACCCCGGAACATCTCCAAACCGAGCTCCAAACCACCAAGAAGAGGGAAGCAGGCTTTTAGTGGTTCCATTTCTTGCGGAAAAATCCGCCAAACAGGGGACATGTGGAGCCCACTGAACAGTTGGGACAAAGACACATGAGCCCTTGGATTGTTGCCAGTATGCAGCTGAGGCAAAGTCTGTTCTGCTCATCCGCCTTCTTGACCTTAGTCGGCCATGCCAGTCGCGCGCACGATTTGGCCAAGGAAATGGGACAGATGTTGGTTAAGCTCGGTTCCTGAGTGGATTGGCCAAACAAATCCGAACATGCCACTACAATGGTCTTGGGGAGTGGGCGAACAAAGTAAAGCAAATTTAGGCGGCTGACCATGGCTGACCCATTTACCAAACAAAGGTGGCGTGCCCTCTTGCCATCCATGGAAGCTGATGCGGTCCGCTGCCATGGTTGCTTTAAGAGACCTGAACGGAAGGGTTTTGAAAAACTGGCCCATGGGTGTCATTGTTTGAGTACCCTTTTCAGCTCGCGGAAATTTGAAGGAAAACCAGGGCACATGTTCAGAGGGGGGGGCGCCCCAATTTGACACATACCGACACTGGGATACCTATTCATGTGTGTCATGTTCATATTGGCCTTGTGGTGGTTTATATATAATGGTCTATGTCTCGTGCTCTTATGTAGGGATGACACGTTTGATGTCGCCCTCAGGGCAAAAAGGCCTGTTTGCTCAGAACTCTCACGGGCTTAGAAAAATCTAAATGCATCTCCTTGGCTTTTTTTAAAAGCCGACCCCAAAAGGGGCATTTTCAACATGTCTCCTGCAAGGACTCCCGGACTCCCTCTTGGCATTCCTTGCCAACCGACCCCTGCGTCAACCCACACATGCACGTCCAAATAGATCTGTCGCTTTGTGAGGAGACCCCCACAAACTGGCGGCTTCCTCTTGTTGCTTCTTTGACCCCCCCCAAAAAAAAAAAACACGGGGCAGCCTCAACAGCAACGAAGACCTCCAAATGCATCCCTTGGCGCCGCTTGGCTTCCCCTGCTGGGACCGCGCCCTTGGCTTTGAGGAGTCCGAAGTGGTGGCAGGGCCCAGCGACCCGCTGCGCGAGGACCTCGGATCGCTCGGATACGGCGCCGAAGGCCGAGGAACGGGCGCTGGCGCTCAGTTCGTTTCCCAAGCACTCCATGGTTTTTTTTACCCAGGTTTACCTTCCAAATTCACAAATTGGTGGTACACATAGATATTCACACACATATGTCCTGCGTGGATTATCTGGGAATCCCGGCAAGGGTGGGGCGTGTCAAGGGGACCTTTTCGGTCCCAAATTCCATCAGGGCTCCATCAGGCAACACAAATTGCAGAAAGAGAGGCAGGGCCAAGGAGGTTGTTGCCTTGGCCAGGGTTGCCCAGCAGCCCTTCACAAAGCGAAACCTGCTTGGGCTCGAGCCATTTTTAGAGGAAACCCACCAAAGGCCAAAAAGAGAAGAGTGCCAATGGACGACAGGATTTCAATAGTTTGCTCCCCCATCCCTGGAAAGAACGGCAGTACAGCTAGAGGATGAGTGTTCCTTATGGCAGTCAGTGGAGAATGAGTGTTCCTCATGCCTGGTGGACAAAAACATGTTTTTCAGAATAAAACGGGTTATATATCATTGTAAAGGCTGGGCATTCTTTTTCGAACAACCAGGGGTGCATGTTTGTTGTTGGGCCCGGTTCGTGGCCACCGTTCGGTTGTAAATGAGTTCTGTTGCCTCCCGGGTGGGGCGTACGAAGCCCTACTTACAACAAACAGAGGCGTCCAAATGGCAAGAGAGGTAGCCGCAACCAGGTTCGGGTAGAACAAGACTTGGAATCCGTGTTTCTTGGCCACTTTTACAAACCCAGACCCAATGTGAAACACAGAAGTGTACCAAAACCTGTGAGGACTTGTGGGACGCCCTCGTCATTCCAAACCCGGACATGCCCAGCATTGGTTTTCCAATATAGAGCAGATAATCCCTAAATAGGATTTGGATGTGTGGTGTCCATTCGGTCTACCTTTGAGTTGACGGCATCTCGAAAAATAAGCCTGGGATTCAGAAGTAAGGGCGCAAGATCTTGTGCAGCCTGCGACACACAAGTCTTTTTCACAATCATGCCCCGCAACTCGAAAATCAGGAAGCTCAACATTGCCGAAATGCACCCAGACTATCACGGGGAAAGGGCACTGTCAGGCCCACAATCATGTCACCGCCGTGTTGCAGACTCAAGCAAAGCATTTTGCAGGCTAGCTTTCGGGCAAATGGCACGTGCTTCCAACAATCATGAAAGTGGACAGGAGGGGTGTGAAAACCTACCCTCCTCCTTTGGCGCAGCACCTTCTGCGCTTCAATGATTTTTGAATAACGGTTCCCCGCCGATCAAACAACAACACAACTCTCCTTTTGGGGTCCCATTTGTGAGCTCCGTGTTTTCATTGAAGGGCGGTATGGCTGATAACCAGAGAGACCCCCCTTTTGTTTCCAATGGTTGCCCTGCTTACCTAGCCTCCATTTGCTCAAATCCCTTGAAACAAAAACATAATACTCAACATCTCCCTGTATGTCCACCGGTGCCAGCGTTCCCTGCTTACCTACACTGCTTCGTCCGTCCACAGCCCCTTATGGCACCTGGGCCGAGGCCCCGGCTGGCGGCTGCCTGGGGAACTCGCCGGGCCCTCCTCCTGAGGCAGCTGGGCGCCCGCAAGGCGCGCTGGGCGCGCTGGGCGGCCCCAACTTGGGTGGGGCACTCTCCTGGAAACGTACAACTCACTTGCCCAAAAGAAACCTGCCAGTGAAAGGTGATCAACCTTGAACATGTTATGGGGGTCTTGAGTAGATGTGGTTCTCAAATCAGGGAAGCCAACAGGGTAACAAGTGAGGGTCCCAAGAAAGGGATTCACAAGGCACTCTCTCCCCAAAAAAACGGGTTCCTCCACAACTAAGAAAAAGGGAGTCCCCACCTCCCAAATCCCGAAGTGCTGTTTCCTGAAAACAAACATAGAACCGGAAAGGACCAAGACAATTAAGTCCCTTTGGAACGGGGTCTCCTCTAAGTGTGTTTTTGGATCCATGTTAATCTGCAACCTGACAGATGGTCCCTCTCAGAGAACACTTGGTCTTCCAGGGGTCCCTTTCAGGCTCTATCCTTGTTTTTGGGAGAGTAACAACATTTTGGGATTTCCAGGGGAGGGGGGGGGGGGGGCGGTGTAGAAACTTATGACCCAAAAGGAAAAAGGAGGATGCCAAGTGTCGATCCAGAGGTTGCTTTTTGTCAGATCCTGTTCAGGAAAACAACATAAAATCATTCTGGAAAACCCTGTTGCCAATGGTTGTGAGAACACGGGCCAGCCAGCAAAACAGGGGTTGCCAAAACAACGGGACTCTAGCCCTATTTCCAGGGAAACCCGAAACACATTCTCCGATTACTTGGCCCACATTTGGGGCACAACGAAAAACGTAATGTCTGACTGTGGTCCATACTTCGTCCCGGTGACTCTTTCCCCCTGAGCCAAGAAAGCTGTTGTAGGTTGAATGGAAAAGTAGTCACACCAAAGACCAGCCATCAGCCTACCCCAGACTGAAAAGTGCTTTGGAGAAGACCCCGGACTTACTAGCAAAAGCGTCAAGCCAAGGGTTGCGGTTTTGTGTGTGTGTGTGCGCGTGCGCCTGTATGCGTGTGGTAAAAACTGGGACGCCAATAATTGGAGTTTGTTCCTTTGGTTTCCCCTTAAAGCAACCGGACGCCCTTGTGAAATGATGGAAAACTGGACTGCTCGAAATAGATGTTGGGAACCACAAGGCGGACCCCTTTCATCGCCTAAGGGAAGGGTTCAGGATTGCCCAGAACAATATGTCTTACTTCCGAATGAGTGGATGGCCACCTTACGTTGACAACTGAAAAATGGTCCAACCCCCAAAGGAGTAAAGTCCAGAAACTCAGGAAGCGAGATAGACGCATCCCCTCGTGGTTCTTGAGGTTCCCTTGCCACGCTCCCGGCGGGAATTCGAGGTTGCGCCTCCAGTTCCAACTGGGCCCGCCAGTCTAAGCGCCTCGGAGCGACTGAGCGACGCTTGCCAAGGGAAACGCGCATCAACGACACCAAAAAAGGCATCAAAGGGGTGTGTGGTTTTCGAGGGTACCCCTTTTTGGATGGCTTGCAAGGGAAACACAAGGAGCAAACATCATTTTGCGGGCCATTTTGCTAAAACTCGAAGAGCGGAAGTATTGAACGATCAAAGAAGGGACGTGACGATGCTCGTTTTCGTCCCAGCAGTGCTCCTCACAATCTGCCCCAGACCCTTTAGGTGACTCCCAACGGGAGTTTGGGCTGCCCAAACTGCAAAGGGATGCTTTTGACAGAAGCCAAGGGGGACCCGTTCTTGGTCGACCCTATGCTCACCTTTTCGCCGGATTCGAGAAGGCGGGGTTGAACAGCCAAGCAGAGCCCCACCCAAAAACCAGAACCTTTCATACCAAAAACCAACAAACTGGAAATGCCAAGCAATGGCCCCCTCCCCACCCCACTCCACTCCACCCCCCTGGGGCCACCTTCTGGATTCTGCTCAACAACCGACTGCTGTGGAGCGGTCTGAGGGGCTGGCCATTCGGACTCCCATAGCTTGGTATAAGCCTGGCGGGCAAGCATGGCCCCCCCCAGAACAGGCGCCCAAAAAGAACTCTTTGGCATGCTGGCAAGCAACTTTGACAGTTGCGCCCCCTGCTCAAAAGAATCAAACAACTGTGAAAGTACAACACGTGCCGAGAAGAGGGACCAAAACTCCAACCCATAAGCGTCACACCACCCAAGGCAAACTCGAACCAATTGACAACCAACAAATGATGCTCAACAACACCCCAAAGCGGCAAACCAGATTGATGGAGAGGGCAAATTCAGTACAGGGGCTCCAAGATGATCCAAGCAAAATCCAGTCTGGATCATGTCCTATGGCTCAGAAACAGTGGCTGCTCATTCCCGCAAGCCCCCGTGCTCTTTTGCATCAGGGTCCAAGCTTCTGAGTAGTCTGGCCTCTCCTGGGGTCCTCCTGGCATCACAAGCCAAAAGGTTGCATCTTGACATGCGGTATGACAACACAACTTGGAACAAAAAAAAGGGGCCAAGGATGGAACCTTCAAGGGTGCATTCAGCCGCGAACCAACCCCTGTGGCGCTACAACTGGGGGGGCTGTCTTCAAATTGGAAAACCCCGAAACCAGGTGGTGGCACTTCCGCTTCCCCTGTCAACGCAGGCAAAACGCCACATCCCAACTCGGCAAACGTCTTATTTTGTTGTTTTTATGCCCGAAGTGATTTGCGCCGGATACGCACAATCAGTGAAATCCTCAAACATGCCTTTGTTCAAGGGAAGCTTGGAAAGACAGATATAAGCTCATAAAATATGCTGGGGATGTCATAAGACCGTAAGACCATCCGCCCTTCAAAGAAAAAAAACACAAAAACGAAACGCATCGCCTTCAAGAGCTCCTTGCAGTGGGGCTTGGGGCTGCCTCGGTAAACACATTTGGCGAGTGGCGCATGGCCGAGGCATGGCCGGCACAAGGAAAAGCCGAGGATTCAGTTACCCTCCCGCCAATTCACATGGAACCTGCCAGCAAGGTGGGGGGGGGTCCTGAAAGCTAAAGGGACTCCCTGTCAGGTTCTATGTTTGGGAGGGTACCCCTGGTAAGCATGGAACGAGTTTCCTGAAATCAACGTCAGAGAGACTCCCCCACTGACCAGGCCCCAAAGAAGAAACAGGCAGAAAAAAAAACTTTAGGGCAAACTTACCCCTTGTTTACTCTCATGGTTGGATTATCCTTAACAGCTATGTTGTAGGGGTTTGGTGATACAACCTTCTAGCGCACCCTGGGATCACACCATGTGAACAATGACCCCATCTTGGCTGATTCCCAGATAGACCCTTGATATGTTCGACTACGTCGGGTAACTCCACCTAATGGCAACCTATTATTCAACCCCTGTCCAAGTGCTTTTTGATAGTATGGATGGACAAAATCGATTTCGCGCTTTGATTGACCATAAAGTTGGTTGGTATTTACGTTGGAGAACCGAATCATGCCTGTGGGAAATCCTTTTGGTGAAAGGAACTTCTATAAGGGCCCAGTTCGCTTCTTGCTTTACTGTTAGCCCAGTCAGACCCCAGAACTCTGGTGGGTCTATGTTTCTATGGGGAAATGCTAGAAAGCCGACAAAGCGCAAAGGCAAACAGGGGCAGTTGAGCCTGGCCATGAGCCCCCATCGAAAAGCCGCAAACGAATCCAACGAATTCGAGAGCTGAGGCCGGAACTGAGGAAGCGCGCCAGGGCCTGTCTGTCCACCTGACTCGAGGAAGGTACGGTAGCCCTGCCATGAACTGGGCTTGGGAATCTGTCTCAATCAGAAGCTTCTTCATTCCCCTGAGCTGTTTGCTTGCCACTAAACTGGTCTTCTCAAAAAATGCAAAAAGTCGAGGAACTGAGGAAGTGAGACAAGAATGTGATGCTCGTTTTTCAATGCAGGATGGTTGCACCGGAGGTGGGCGTCAACTCAGTATTTCAAGCCAGGGAACAGGGAACCCCTCAAACGTACCGACAGTTACCATGGTTTTGTCGTTCACGGTTGCTTTAATTACTCGGAAAACGCGATCGCCGCCAAAGACCCATTGGCTTGCTTCTCTTTGTCAACGGCCTTCCTTTTTGCAGCTGCCAACCCCAAAAAAACGCAACCAACCACACTCAACCGCCAAAAAACCCGCCGATTCGTTTGTCACCACCAACAACCTCCCACGCTGCCGCTCTTTCTTCACAAACACCCATTTTGTCAACAACCTTCGTTGTGGAGCTGCAAACAAACGGTAAACCAACCACCCTCAACCTCAAACTAGCGCGCCACTGCGTTTTTTCCCCACAAGCAACCTTCCACGCGCCCTTCGTTTTTCACAAAAAAAAAAAAAAAACAGAAAATCAAAACAGCAAAATGCCTCCGCCTCCGACTTGGCCCCCCAGAAAAAAAAAAAGAAAAAAAAACCTTCTGGCGGCCCGGGCCAGTGAGCACTGAGCTGCGCGGAGGTAGATCCAGGCCTGTCGGCTTCCGAGGTCTCTGAAAAGAGAGATCCGGCCGTGGCCTGGGAAGACATGGACATCCAGTTTGTTCTTTTAACCGCGATACTAAAAATGATAATAAACACATATCTATATTGACATGTATATATATGTATATTTATATATACAGATATACAGGTATATTTAGATATACAGATATACAGGTGTATATATATATATATATACACAATATTACATAGATAAAGCCAATGCGGAAGACATGGAAGTCCACTTTCGCTGGGCTCCATTGCGACCACGCTTAGCAACAGAAAACACGTTGTGTCCAGCAAATCCAGGGGCCATGAAAGTGGCGTCCTCACGATGACCGTCGGAATCGTGGCTGAAGGGAAAACACCCCCCAAAACAAATATATACAGTTATACACGTATGACGTAGGGGGACAACAGTCCTTCCCTAGTTGACCACAGACTTCCCCGAACGGAGTGATCCCTGAATTGGTGGTGTGGTTTGACCCGGGGTATCTTCCCATTTCAATACTCAGGGGTTCGCAGAGTTTGAAAAGTCTTATAGGCGCCCATGCAAAAAGATGACATTGTTGCTAGCCTGGCAATGTTATCAAAGCCATCGAGGAAGCCCTGTCTGGGGAACCGGTTTGGGCAGCGTTGGTCAATCCCTTGAAGCCTTGCCACAAGTTATACACTTTCAGTGAGCTAATGTCATCACCCCCTCCAAACGGCAACAGCCGACAGCTAAACAACTGAAACGCCTAAGGAAAGCTTATGGCTGGGGATCGCCAAGCTACTAAGGCGGATTGACTCCGAAAACGCAATCCAGGGGCAAGCCGATTCGAATCGGCAGCCGTTGCATCCGGCCCTCTGTTCCACGGTGAGCTCCAAGTCTCCGCAGGGCTCCGGCCTCGAATTTCGAGGCTACCCTCCCATCATGGAAGCTGACAGCCTTGGGGTTTTGGAAGACTCTCCTTTGGAGGAAGCCCCTTGTCCACTTCCATGGTGGGAAGAGGGCAATTCATTGCTTGACTGCGTGCCTGCCTATGGGTATGTGCGCGTGCTGTCTTACTTTCTTTATTGCTTGCCTGGGTGTCTGAGTTGCTTGCATGAGCAACTGGCACGGTGATCGCCGGACAAACCGCAAAACACAAATGACGTGGAAATGAAACAGTAGAGAAACCAAAATTTGACCACTTTGACGGAGAACCGAAACAAAAAGGAAAAACAGTCTGATTCTCAAGTAGTCTCCCCAGGATTTGTTGGAATCATAATTAACTTGTAGTTGCTTAAGGCCGAAGGTGTTGCCAAAGCCTTGTCACCTGTCATGACCGTTCCCCTTTAGAAGCCATTCGACCGTGTAACCCAAACAAGGAGCACCAAGCCCATGCAAAGAGGAACGCACAAGGCGACAAATTTGGAGGACTGCGACTTTCTTCCCAAACCTCCGATAGATTTCCATGGGCAAACGGCACTTCCTTTTTATTGTTTTGGGGTGCGTGCTTTGTCGAGCCAAGAAGGACAACTACAATTTTTGGGGCCAACCACCTTAAAACAAACACATGTTCAACACCTTCAACTGTATGGGAACCCTTCCCCAACAAAGGGTAACAGGGCAACACTGGGAGACCTAGACAAACAAACCAGCCACTTTGAGTGCCAGCCTTGGTAGCCTTGGGGCCTCTGAGCGTCCGCGCGTGGGGATCCCAGTCGGCATCTTCTCCACCTAAGGGCCGACATGAAGAAGGATCATCCGGCTGCCTCCTGAGAAACACATCGGTTCATTTATTTATGTCTCAAAAAAAATGGGGGACCAAGATGGCACACCGGTGTTCCTTCCGGAAAACCGAGTAAAAGAAATGAACGGGTTTTCCCGATACTTCCCAAAAAGACACCGCCAGACGTCTGAGTTCTGGAGTGAGGCCGGGAGCTGTGCCAAAATCCGCTGGCGCGTGCCGTGGTTGGTGCTGCGGGCTCGAACCTCGGCATCTTCCCGCTTTTTCACCGGCGTTCGGTGGCCCGTCCGGTAGAACAAAGGGGGCATGTGGTTGGGTTGGTCCGTTTTTTGAGCGAGGAAACACCTTCAAGAGAACATATTAACCGAACTCAGGACAAAGTAACGAACATAAACGAGGAATGGGAAGGACTTTTGGAAACGAACGCTTTCACTGGGGATGACAATTGCTGGCGATTTCGGAACCCACGTGGTTGAACCACGGGTCACAGAAGAGACTAGACTGGCAACACTGCAGTCGCGAGCCTTGTTGAAGATCACTTGGGCAATTTCTCACGAGCTCACAGGGATGAAACAAGCTTAGCCGTAGTGAAGGCATTCAATGTCCGGGTTGTGAATTGTAGCGATTGTACAGGTCACAGTTAGGTTTGGCAAACTGCTTGACTACCCGAACCAGCCAATAAGAGGCATCCTTAAAAAGAGGCACACCGATTTACTCACTGAGCTGTGCAATGCTTGGCTGCTGGTAGGCCCTCTGCTCGGCCAACAAATGGTTGCAAGCTGAGCCCAAAGGAAACCACAGCCATCCATTGTGATCATCCTGCGGAGCCTGGCGGGCCTCCAGTAGCCATGGGTGAAACGGGGCACCCTCAGCTTCCCCCTAATGGTGGTGAAACGGGGTGGCTTCCCATTTACGACCAACAAGAGGGGTTCAAATCCGCCTGTTTCAGTTAGCCTCCTACATCAGATCGGGGTCATCTGTTTTGAAAGGGCACCTTTGGTTTCAAAGGGATACCAAAAGGACACCACCCATGTTGCCAGGTTCGCTACTACCATGTCCTGATAGAATCTAGTAGCTCCCGAGCTCCTTCTTTAAAGGCAAATTTGGATACCCAAAGCTCCTTGGCTCCCTTCCAACCACCATTTGGAGACAAACCCACTTCTTCATACAACCGTCCGGCAGCAAAAAGGGCAATTTTTCCGGGCTGGCTTGCTTTTCGAATGAGGAAATACCTCCAAAAGAAACTCTTCACCGAAGAAAGCGCCAAGGGAACCACATAAAACCACTTCAACCCCACCGATTTAGGTTTTAGGGTTTAGGGGTTAGGGTCACAACACATCCAGGAAACCACACAAAAAAATAATAATAATAATAATAATAATAATAATAATAAAACAAAAACAAAAAAAATGTATCTACCCCACTTTTTGCTCCCGCCACCGAGCCCCGGGGTTTTTGGGTCGCCCTGCGTCGCCCCCATCCACCTCCACCAGCTTGCCCGTGGCCATGGACTTCAGGTGCACCTGGAAATTTCTCCGCGCGCTGCAAAAAGAGGAGCCCTTCTCCGTCTGACCGGAGTCGTGGAGGTCTGGAGTCTGGCCATGGCAAAGACAGTGTTTTTTGTTTTTTTTTGGGGGGGGGAAAACAAGTGCGATCTTGTTGTTTCTTCTCTCTTGGAAATGAGCCCAACGTCTTCCAGTGCTTCTTAAAAACCTAGGATCTTTCCTCATTTTGTTGGTTTCCCTTCAAACCAATCCAAACTCGGGTGAATGCCGCTGATATCTCACCCGGGCATAGGAAAGCAACAAATACAACAAACAAAACAAGAACAACCAAGCCCAACGTCGCACCCTTGCGATCATGTTCGCAACAAAAAAGAGTCAACTGCCAGTCGGACAGTGCTAAACCAAATTGGGCTCCGCCATCTTTAAATCCCCCCTAAAAACTCAATGGACCGCAGCAGCTGGAATGACCCCAAAAGTAACCATCCCCATAGCTATGGTTTCCTTTAAAGGAATCCCCCAAACGGTTCATTCCACTCCGACAGTGCCTTGCTATCGCACCAGCAAGAAAAGGCCCAAAAGATACGGCGGCGCTGCAAAAACCTGAAGATTGAAGGCGCCAGGACCCCAAAGCAAAGTTGTCAGGCCAATTGACCGGGTTGCTTCCATTCGGTCCTTTCATAGTAGAAAAGAAAAAAAACAAAAGGAAGCCTTTGACCAAGACGGGGTTTGAAAGTTGGGGCAAAAGGCAACAACCAGAACCTGAACCTGGAGAAAGCACGTCTGGTTCATACCCTAAACTTGGAGCTAGTGAAAGCATACTGGGTGGGCCCCCCAAGCAAAAACCTTTAACACCACCTAAAACGGGTAGCCTCAAGAAAGAATACCTCCATATGCGCCCTTGGCAGTGATGTAACTGGCCGCTACATCTAGGGATCACTGGAAAACAGCATCACCCATTTCTCTGAGGTTCCGGCTGGCGTGCCGGACAGCATGGTGCCCGCTGTTTGCACCTCAGGCAGGGCGCCTAAAGGGCCTGTAGATCAACTCACTTCCTGAGTGGATTGGCCAAAGCAAGTTTGAACAAATTATTTACCACCAAAATGATCTTCCCAAAAAGCTAAACGTCCAGGAACCTAGGAAGTGAGACAATAAAACATTCCCCGACCTGAGCAAAGAAATCAGCGATCTCGCTACAGGTGCAGAATTCACCACCGAGCAGACCCAGAACCTACACGGTTTGCTGTCAGGACCTTGCGGCCCTTGTCTTCGCAGATGATACGTGTGCGATACATTTATGAATGCTGAGTTATGTATCTAAGGCGTATGTCTTTCAATATTTGTAAATATACATGCATGTATGACATACACATCTAACAATGTAGATTTGCACACTCATACTCACGATTATCAGCAATCACATTTATAAAGGCCGCTATGTATGAGCACACACACACATTTAGACATTGACACTGCCTTTGCAAGTGGATTGAAGTCACGATGAGTGGAGTAATGGCTCATAACCTACTTACCACAGTTGCAGCAGCAGAATCATCAAAAACAACAAACCTTGGCCAACGTTCAACCCATAACTGCTAGTCAAATGATTCATATGTTATTTCATTATGCTAGGCAACTCAGGAACACCCGTTCCCGGAACAATGATGACCAGCTTGCCCGTTGCAAGCTGCCATTTGGCAGTTTACAGTGTTTCGAACTTTGAGCAAAAAAGCAAACAAACACCAAAACGACAAAGCTCAAACGAGCAGGACTCGCTTCCTTCAAAGCAAACCTGGGAAAGTGCGGACCTTAGTACTGGCCTTCCAACCTTTCACGTTCCTCTCTCTCGCTTTGCTCGCGGCAATTTTTAACGATTGCCCATTTGCAACTAAAACCAGGCTTGCGAACCCTGAAAGGCGCAATGAGGTTTATGACCACATTGATGACCAAACAGCGGCCACGCAAGAAGGAAGTGGGCATCGAACACTGGGGATCGACAAGCGTCCATATGGCTTCCGGCTTTTTCGTGGGCCGCAAATTCTCCGAAGCTCGAGCAACTTTTTACCAGGCCCAGAACCAGCAACAACTCCGCTACAAGGGTAAACATGCCCGGCGCAATTCCCTGTTGGGGTCAAAGGGATGACCAAACCTAGGACAATTTTGCCACCTAACTTTCAACTGTAGGCTGTTGGACGTATAAAGGTTTCAGCAAGTGAACTGTCCGAAGCAAGTACCAGGCTGAAGGGCTATGATCCCAGTCGAAAAAGGAAACGCGCCCTAGACCTCCGTTTTACCCACCCTTCGGACCCCAACTCCCGATTTTCTCGGTTGCTTTCTGCTCCCCTGCTAAAAGTTTAACTTTTTGTGGTTCCATGGAAAAACCCGTTAGCTGGCAACAACAAATAATAAGGTCCTAACATCCAAGCAAAATGCGCCAAAGTTCTCTAGGTTCACAACAGCCATTCGTTCCACGGGGTCCAAGCGCCGATTGGGCCACAGCAACGACGAGTCCCTTTCCCTCGGCTAAGGCGCTACGAAGCGCATGGGGTTGTCTGAAGTTCCCTCACCTGGCGATGGCTCGAGGCAATTTGCTCCAGTTTGAAGTTCCCCTGGAACAAACAAACATATTTCCAGTGATAGCTGTCCTTTGAAGCCAACAGGGAGAACGAAAAAACTTCCGGTCCAGATGTCCTTTGAAGCAAACAGGGAGAAAGCGCTTCCAGTCCAGATGGGCCTTGGAGTTTACAACCTGGCTTAATTTGTTCAGTGACCCTTGTAGAAAGGGCATTTTTTCAAAAGTTCATGGGAAGTCACCTGACCAAAAAAAAAGCGATAAAGGGTGCCAATGAACAACTGCATCATTTTTCTCCGCATGCCCCAAACTGGCCATGACCAAACCTCTGTTGCAATCAAGTGTCCACAAGCATGCCAAGCACTGAGGATGTGGAAGTACGGCCTGTCAGATTTGGGGGAACGCCCACAAGGTCGCAAAAAGTCGGACACATGAGACAAACACTCGGGGCTGTTGGTTACACTGATCTCATCGACAAAGAGCACCGCAAACGTGCCATGCTTCTTCATCCCCAGGATATCAAAGTTCAAATTCTCGTGCCCTGAAACCATCTGAAAGATTGGATTGGCAGGGTCACTGTGATCCTGATTCAAGTCCCCATGTGCCCGCTTCAACATCACCCGGCGAAAAGGAATATTCTCCCCGAAGAAGGGGGACCACTTCTGGACTACAGCAATAAAAGAGCATTGCTTGCCTACTGGCTCTCAACCTGCTTAAATGCACACAATTCTCACATTTGGGGTTGAAATTTGCGCGTTTCATGGCTTTAAAAAACCCACCCCCCCCTGTGGGGGGCGTTCTCCAAAAAAGAAAGGCGCAAGGCCGAGAGACGGTAGCGGCGGAACATGGGAGCCCAAAAGCCGCGAACAACTCACAACCCGGCAGCATCGCCCAGTTGCGCAGTGACCCGGAAGAGTAGAACATGGAACTGTTGAGAACCCAACCCAAAAAGGGAAAAGGGAACCCGCTGAACAATTGTATGACTTTCCCTCCTAAAACTGAACTGAACCCAAAAAGGAAAACCTAAAAAAGTGCCAACAACAGTGAAGATATGAAGTCGCATTTGGTGGTTGTCCTTTGGAAGGGTATGAAGCACAAAAACACCAAGAACTTCAGAGCATGGCGTCGTAGCCCATGGCACGTCCGAGCCCGCAAACCATGGCCTTTGGTCAGCAAGCCAACTTCTGACTGCAGAACTCCCAACCTGCAAAGCTCAGGATCAAACAACCTGGTACTGTTGGTGTCCGCCCAAAAAAATCGACATCATGATCAACAATCACAAGTTGCCAGCTGTTGCTGCATCCATGTCTGGATTTTTGACTGCTCCATCACCTTCGGCCAAAAAGTCAGGGAAACCTGTAGTCTGACACTCGCTCACGCGAAAGTCCACATGGCTCGTCTTTTTTAAGGATATATATATATATATGCAGGTTTTCCTGTTGGGTTCCCTTGTAAATCCACAAACAAAGGGGCACCCTGAAAAAACACGCACCCATATCCTTGAGTTCTTCTTCGGCCTCCGCAGCTCTGCGCGAAAATCCGCAAGAACCCTCCACATCATTCGCCGATCACAAAGGATGCAACAAGAAGCGCCGTCTGTCCAGCGCATGGAAGGGCTGCTTCCTAAAAAAAAACAAAAACGTCATGAACCACCCACGATAGATACTGGGCGAGCAACTGGCGTTTCGCTCCAAGTCCTACAGGGAGCGAATGCAAACCGGCCGCGCGCGGTTGCCCTACCTCGTTGCCTACGCTGCAAGAAGGGGCGTGTGACGGCGTCATTCGCTTCCATACTCCTGGGTTTGTTTTCTATGAAGGACTAATATGACAATCCTAAACCCCTTCAAAAATCTCTTGAAACGCACACAACCCCTCGGTTTTGGGGTTTTGAGAATTGCTGGGGGGGTAGAGTCAGAGAACTTGGGAAGTCAGCTCCCGCGGAGAGGATGGTGCTTTGCACCCAGGACAAATCCCATGTTTTCCACGATCGTTCTTTCCAAGAATGAGCCGGCTTCCATGTTTGGTTGGAGCTGGAAAGGAGGAGCCCCGCAAAACAAAGCTAGCAGGTTACCCCTAGATGTGTCTAGGCAACTCACAAATCCGAAAGGAGGGTTGGACGCTCATGGTGTCTCAAAATTGTTAAACTATGGTTGAGTGCTTGGCTTCCTTGGCTTACGCAAAGTGAAAAGGAAGCCCTGCGGCAAGCCCACTTGGGTATGACGACATCATTGGGGAATTTGTATCCACCAAACGCTTCTCAGTGGTTCGTTGATTTCTTGCTAAAGGCTTAACGGTTAGTGGAATATGTTATACGTCCCTCTCAACACAACAGCAGCCAAAAGTGTAAGGGAAACAGCCTAACATGCCGTGTTTCCCGTTGGTGTCCGTACAAGCCGGGACGAAAAGGGTGTCCGCAAAAAAGCTCTCACACATGCAGGGCACCCCACCCAGCGAAATAAGCACAGCCAATCACAAGAGCCCGGCCACAGCGGCTGCTCCGGAGCGGGCTCCAATTTAAAGCCCACGCGGCCTCATTGACCGACGCCAACAAGGATCAGTTTTGCATACCTCCAAGAGCAAACCTGCACGGTTGCACATGTGTCCAATGGGCTGAAGAGGGACTACCCTGAGTGACTCAGGCAACCCTTTGTGGTGCCAGGAATCTTTCTAGTGAGAGCCCACCAAGCTAAGCGGTATTTATAGGTATGTATAGGGTATAGCTAAGGGAAGCCCCGGTAAAGCTCCTTTACCAGGAAAAGCTTGGCTGGCAAGGACTTACAATTGTAGAAGCATGCTAGTCAAGGGCAAGATGTAGGATGCTACCGAGCCTTCACCTAGCCAACGCCCACGATTGTCCCAAACAAGCGTTCTTTCAACACCACCCAGTCTCAGGCGTGCTCCTGGCACAACCAACGGGAGGTTGTCCCAAACGACATCGTTCCGCCTCCCCTAGTGCTCTCTCTTCATTCTACTTTTCTCTCTCTCTCTCTGTCTCTCTTGCTACACCTCTCTCTCTCCTTCTCTGTCTCACTCTCTCCCTCCCCCTTAATTTCTCTGACAGGCCTAAGTAGGGCCTCGATATGCCTCAATAGACCAGTTGGGGAAATCAAGGGAGACGGGGCTGGCATTTACTTGCTTTGGGGGCATCCGCGTGACCCTATTGAATATGAGCTTCAAACGGTTGCCCCAAAGATCATTTGGGCCTGTCTTTTTCATAAGGGTACCCTTTTTGGGGTGGGTTTAAAGAGGGACCAAAAGGAAAACCACATCTATTTTTTGGGGGGCATTCCCTTAAAAAATGTTAAAAGGAAAACACTTTTTTTTTTTGGGGGGGGGTTCCCCTAAACAAAAAAACACCGCCATCTTGGGGGGGTCCCGGGGGTGTTTTCTAAAAAAAGCCGAGCCACCCATTTCTCCCCCCCTCAATGGGCCGGTTCCGGGCGCCAGGCAATCGCTCTTCAAGGCCAAGCCCTTGAACTCGATCACCTGGTCCGATCGAACGCTCCGAGGTCTGGCTCCGTGTGTTTTCGAGGTACCCTTTTTGCTGGCTGAAAAAAGGGACATGACTTGGTCGAGTTTAGTAGGGGAACTGCGAAAAAAAAACGGACATGATTTTAGTAGAGAGGTTAGAATAAGTTGGTACCTGTTTTTCTCTGTAGTCGATTTTAGTAGGGGAACTTTCCCCAAAAAAGGGTAAAAGGGCACTACTGGGGGACGTAGGGTGTCTCCTCAAAAGGGTCCTAAAAAAGGTGTCTCCAAAATGGTCTCCTAAAACAAAAAGCATGTTGGGTGACCATGTTGGCGTCTCTCTTCTTGGTAACTATCTTTGGGGTGTCTCCTTAAAACAACACACATCCAACTTAGTATTGCAAGTAAATCAGTCACACCCAACCACAATACCACGGTGAATTATGGTAGATCCGTCGGGTTCCGTATGTTCCCTACTTGCAATACAAAGGCATCACCCAAGATGAAGTCCTCTCAAGTTTGGAACCTCGTCTCGTATGGTGGACACTTAGTTGTGTCTATGCTGCAACCATTTTACTTTGGACAATGCTGACGTTTGGGGGTTAGGGTCTGCACGACGATAATCGACGATAAGTGTAGCTTTGGCTTCCCGCCAACATGTCCCAAAAAGGGGTACCAACTCCAAAGGCAGACGAGGCTGAAGGGGATGTTCGATTGTTGTGGCATGAAACAACGGGTATCTGCTTTTGAGGGTGCCCATGTGTTGGTGGTTAAAAAGGGAAAGAGAAAGCCATCATGTTGGGTCCCCCAAACTTCAACAGACCCATGTAATTTAATGTCCTTGTTCCACTCATTTGGGTGCTAAATTGTTCCTAAAATTAAAGCTTATCCGAAAGCAGACCAAAAGGGGCGCATCGCGGTGGGATTGTGGATGCGATGCCCAAACGCCCTCGCTTGAGTGATTGGATCAACTGCCGGTTACGGCTCCCGGGCTCCCAGCCTTCAAACAGGAACTGAAGGAACAAAAACTGTTGCACCTTTACGCAAATGACTACAAACACTGACGAGAAAGTTGAAAGCTTGCCAACTCAACTGCTCTTGCATGTCCCCGTCAACGACTACACGACGAAAACAATGTGAAAAGCAAAGCACGTTCACCTGAACATGCAGTCAGGTGGTTTCGAGCTTGACATCTCGGATCTGCGAGCCCCCGCATGCCCTCCCAAGAAACTGCAAGACAACGCATCCGCCCCATAAAATCAGGACCAAGCTGGAAGTGTTGCCAGCCTTTTGCCGTGCGCCCGGCAATGGAAACCCAACTTCGCCCACCGTCGAACTTCCCTCCAACTTCCGGGGCCCAAGGCGAAGGTGGCCGCTTGCGCACGCTCCGCGGCGTTGCACAGGATCTTGGTGCCTCAAGCGCGTGGCCTGTGATTCGCCGTCTGCGCTTTGGTGCAATGTGGGGCATGTGTTGCAACAACGGTTTCTGGTTAAAGGCATCCAGATTTCAGGGAGGGTTCCAGAGCACAATTTCCGGGACCTAAATCCAGCGATCCACCTGAGATCCAGTTTCCTGGCTTAGACATGTTTGGAAAGACATCCCCTAGTCTCAACATGCAATGTCAAAACGGGTCCAACAGGAATCTCCTGAGCCAAGGGGGCGAGCGGTCTGGTTCCATGTTAATCTGCACGCAAGTAGCCCAACCAAACCTCCTGTCATGGGCAAGCTGAGCTTACCACTAGCAAATGTATGCGGCGTGCGCCAAGAGGCAATACATATTCTTAGCCGCTCTTTCCAAGCACCTCATCAATTACCGTTTACGAGCGATAGCGTCAAGGAGAGCTTTTACTTCATCGAAGGCTAAATGTGTCCTGCCACTAAAGGAGTCTAAAATGGTAACGCGAACAATTCATGTTTGACGCTTGCCCTTATACATACCCAAATGCCAAACCTGGAAACTCCTTCTGGCCAAAATTTCAGCCGCGGACTCAAAAAGGCATTTTTGCGTCCGCCGGCGGAAATGGGGATCTCCGCAAAAAAATCGCGGCGTTTTTGCTTTTCCGGCGGCGTTTTTCATACGCGGCCTTAAAGAGCATTGCTGCCACAACTTTTGCTTTGACCCATGCACATGCGCCAATCTGACAAGCGTTATGAATCATGTTTGTTCGATGCGTGTGGCGAGTACGCAGCCCTCTTTGTCTCCACTGCTTCTGGATTCAAAGGGGCTGGTTGCCCCAAAATACAGGAATCCGTTTTTTTCCTGCATGCACGGTTTAATAGACGGTTTTGTATTGTGCTGGTGTTTCGGGCTACGGCGGAAACACGCGGGATTACGGTGGAAACACGCGTCCAAACAGTGGATGTTCTCAGGGCCTTGAATTGCGCTGCTTGACGCTGGATCTCCTTACCTTCGATTAAGGGGTTATTAGCATCACTGTGCAAAGCACGTCTTGTCACAAATGCATTGCCGGCAGAAATCATGATGCATGCAGTTGGCTATGTAGTTGCGGGCACCGAGAGTGTCAAAGCTCGTCTATTGATGCGCAAGTGCTTGCCATGCCGGCCTACGCATTGTTCTCTGGATGGGTGGAGTCGTTGCTGCGTGCCCAGTGCCCATCTTCATAACTTTCAGCAGCGTTTGTGAGCAAATCAAAGACATGCCAGTTAGTTTTGCATTGTGGGAGCAAGTGCTTGGTGCAGTTAATGATGTGCTAGACCAGGCTTTGCGGCTGTTTTTTCTAGCTGCCGGCGTGTTTCAGAGCTGCCGGCGATTTGTTCAACTTGCGTCTGAAATTCTTGCTGAACGCAAAGCGGCTGAAATTTTGGCCGGACGGAGGTTCCAGGTATTAACAATTTCACTTCTCACAAGATGGGTGCAAGGACGTGCAGGCCTCCTTAGGGAAAGAAAACATTGCAAATCATCATCACAGGTAAGCTCAGTTTACACGCAGGCGAGCTTGTTGTTGGGTATTTGTGCGTGTGCGCTTGTGCGTGCCTGTGTGTGTGTGCAGAATGTGGTTTGCCCCTTTTCAAGGAAAGCGACCGGCACCCAACAAAAACATGGTACCTGTCAGAGGCAGGGATGAATCACCAGCCAGCGTGCTGTCCCGGCGAGCGGCGGAAGCGTCCTTTGCTACCCATGGATAACCAGTGACTAACAAGGACGGACCATGCTTTCCCCAAGAGCGACCGCTATGCGGCCTTTGGGTTGCCACTTTCCCAAAGTCATCTGTACAGTTCCTGGGAGGGTCCCTGCCAAAAGAGCGATCAGTGCCGGAAATAAATGCGGCCTGCAGATTTCAAGTTGGCCCAGCCCCGTTTGCAGCTCTCAGCTGCCGGCTGTTTTTGGTGGTGATCCTAGCAAACAGCGTCAAAATCAGGATCCGTGGGTCAGCGGGTCATGTCACCCTTACTCAATGGGAACCGCCGTCCTAAACCCCAAAAAGGTTGACGCCCATCCTCAGCTACCCCAGGCAAAAGTGCCTTTGGGCGCATTTTGATTCTTCCATTCTGGGGATGTTGCATTTGAGAACAGGAGAAACGCTTTGAGGTTGCGCGAGGCTTGACATGGAGCTTGGTTGCTGTTGACCCACCTGCAAAAAGTTTAACCTTTTGGGGGTTTAATGGAAAATACCATTATTTCCCAAAAAGTTAAAGTCTAAAGATCCAACCCAATAGCAGTCAAGTGGAAGGAAAAACAACAAGAGGCGCATGTTTGCCATCCCTGTCCACCATGGAACTAACCAGTCTTCCAGGAAAGGGGCCAGTCATAAATCAGGAGGTAATGCCAGGTCAAATCACGTCTTCCCCAAAGTATACAATGGAAACGGATCTAAAAAATGGACTTCAGAAGTCAAAAACCTTTTCAACACGGAGTGTTGGCCAATCTATCTTTACATAATGCCCATTGGAAAATAATGGGGAGGAAATCCGATTTCGCAACTGGCAAGGATCTTGCGGATTGCCTCTAAACAGCCCAGGTAGCATAAGCATGTGGGATTCAGGCCAACCATGATTGGCGCATGTACACAGTTCGGCCGCTGGGTTTCCGCCAAACATCTCCCGCTGGCTAGTGTGGATGTTGCAGCTTCCCATTTGGCTTCAGGACACTTCCACGTGCAGTCGGAGCGCCAAGACCGCTTTGGGAGGGAGCGGAGTCCTTGCTTGAGAGCTGCTCCAAGGACCCAAGCGCCGCTTCCAACCCACATGCTCAGCCCAGTTTGGACCCAAAGCTGAACCTTTTGGGGACACTAAAATGGCCCAAAAGGGGCCAACTGGGGAAACTGAATGGTGAAAAGGTCGATTTTCTTTGGGCCTGGGTGAGTATCGGCATGCCCGTTTGGTGCGAGGGGATGGTATCAACCCGACGCTTATTTTGAAAAGCTCTCGACAAATGGATTCCCGACGCAACTCTCCCGGTCCAGCGGCCAGTGTGACCCCGCAGGTACACCTGAGCCGTGTGCAGCGGGGACCGACTCTTGGATGAGCCAATGCTGGTTGCGCAGACTCGGTTCAGAGCAAGCTGCAACATCTCACCGAGTGGAGTGGCCCAAAGCAAGTCTAACAAGATTGCTTCCGAGACAACCGAATTTGCTATCAACAAGATATGTGGGTAAATACCGTTTACAACCGAGACCGAAAGTTGCCCGCATCGGCGAGGTCGCAAACCAAGTTCTTTTTCAAGGGTGTCCTGGCCTGGTCCGACCCCATTGTCACAGGCAATGTGTTCCATCCACGGAGGCCACAGCACCTAGGCACCATGGTGCCTGGAATTCTGTCTACGCCCTGGAAACATCAAGTTGACTCGCCGTTGATCTGTGAATTCACCCGGGTAGGTGCCGCAATTTTCCTGCATGTCCGAAACGAAATGGAAACCCGAATGGGGGAATCGTGCCATCAAATGTTCTCCAACTGCAAAGCTTGGATTTGAAGGGGGCATGAATTCCAATGCTGTGTTGCTGCCCATGTCCCGAGGACGCAGGATCAGGTAAAAGAAGTGGATGTTGCAAAGAAGCCATGCAAACAACAGAAACAAAAGGCTTTAAGAACAAGCCAATCTACCCTGGCCCTTTGGCGTCCATTGCCGTTCTTCTGCACAGAGCACAGCTGAGAAACGTCGCCTTTTGATATTTTACGTCACACCGTCAAAACAGAACCTCCCACGTATCAACTTGGCCTTTCCGAAAAAGGTTCTGCTTTAACTTGGGCGAGTTGGATCGTGCCAGGATCTTTAACTTGCTGGTTCCCAGCAGGGAATGAGAAATGAAATGAGTTTTATAAACCATCCCGTGCAAGTTACTTCCCTCATTCCCTGCTGAGCACCAGCAGGTTAACCTAGGTTCTGCGTTGACAAACACGTTCTATTTCTGACCGTTGTGGAAACCCACGAATGCTTGACCTCCAAATCTGGGCCACGCTTCGACGCCCTGCAAAAAGGTGCTGCTTTGACGTTAGCTTCTTGAAAGGGAAAACGAAGAACAAAACACAAGGGCACACAGTTAAAAGGCAAGCTAAGTCTGGCAATGGAATGAGGAGGAAGCTGAACTGAGGACCTGACAATGTCCTGGGGCTTGATCTGGCCACCCAGCCCGACAGTATCCAGGACCTCCTGTCAGGGCTTTTGACGATGCCACTGTTATGGTGTGTAGTTACGCTTGAAGGGAAACATCCAAACAAATAACATCAAATAACAAAAGGCAAACAGTCCAGCGGTCTTTCCCCTCTTTGTTGTTGTTGTTGTTGCTGCTGCTGCTGTTGTTGCTGCTGCTGCTGCTGTTGTGGTTGTGGTTGTGGTTGTGGTTTTGCTTTTGCTTGTTGTGGTTGTGGTTGCGGTTGCGGTTGCGGTTGTTGCTGTTGCTGTTGCTACTGTTGCTACTGTTGCTGCTGTTGCTGCTGTTGCTGCTGTTGTTACTGTTGTTACTGTTGCTACTGTTGTTACTGTTGTTACTGTTGTTATTGCTGTTGCTGTTGTTGTTGTTGTTGTTGTTGTTGTTGTTGCTGTTGTTGCTGTTGTTGCCGTTGCTGTTGCTGTTGCTGTTGTTGCTGTTGCTGTTGCTGTTGCTGTTGCTGTTGCTGTTGCTGTTGCTGTTGCTGTTGCTGTTGCTGTGGTTGTGGTTGTGGTTGTGGTTGTGGTTGTGGTTGTGGTTGTGGTTGTGGTTGTGGTTGTGGTTGTGGTTGTGGTTGTTGTTGTTGTTGTTGTTGTTGTTGTTGTTGTTGTTGTTGTTGTTGTTGTTGCTGTTGCTGTTGCTGTTGCTGTTGCTGTTGCTGTTGCTGTTGTTGTGGTCGTCGTCGTCGTCGTTGTCGTTGTCGTTGTCGTTGTGGTTGTTGTTGTTGGTTGCAGCCGCGTAACGACCCTGTGTTATTTACCATAGCGTGAAAATTGGCCATTTTTCCCTCTGAATGATTACAGACAACACTTCTGGGTCGCTACGCGGCTTGTCGCCAGCAAGAACAACCCGCACTGCGCACATGCCTGGTACATGATAAAAGCACACCCGCTCACGCGCATCATCTCACGACTGCACACATGCCTGGCACATGATAAGAACACCCGCTCACGCGCATCATCTCACGACTGCACACATGCCTGGCACATGATAAGCACACCCGCTCACGCGCATCATCTCACGACTGCACTCATGCCTGGCACATGATAAGAACACCCGCTCACGCGCATCATCTCACGACTGCAATCATGCCTGGCACATGATAAGAACACCCGCTCACGCGCATCATCTCACGACTGCACTCATGCCTGGCACATGAAAGAACACCCGCTCACGCGCATCATCTCACGACTGCACTCATGCCTGGCACATGATAAGAACACCCGCTCACGCGCATCATCTCACGACTGCACACATGCCTGGCACATGATAAGAACACCCGCTCACGCGCATCATCTCACGACTGCACATGCATGCCTGGCACATGCATAAGCACATGATAAGCCACCCGCTCACGCGCATCATGCTCACGCTCACTGCACTCATGCCTGGCACATGATACGAGCACACATGCGCACATCACGCGCATCATCTCACGACTGCACGCGCATCATGCCTGGCACATGATAAGACATGATAAGAACACCCGCTCACG